AGGAGGAGGAGGAGGAGGAGGAAGGAGGAGGAAGGAGGAGGAGGAGGAGGAGAAAGGAGGAGCAGTAGAAGAAAGGAGAAGGAGGAGGAGGGACACTCACACGAGGGGGAGAACACGAACGCAGGCGACCAAGATCAAGCTGAAAGAGCGAAAGATAGAGAGAGAGAGAGAGTGAGAGAGAGTGAGAGGAGGTTACGAGACCAGGCTCGCGGCGGCAGCAGCAGAGGCAGGCAGGGAGGCCGGGAGTCCCGGGCCACCGTCCGGGCGACGGGGACGAGCCCACCGCGAGAAGCACGGCCACCCGGCCCACTTCCCGAAGCAAGCGTGGCAGAAGCGGCGGGGAGCAGAGGTGGTCAGAGAGCCGCACGAGAACCCCCAGCACATAGCAAGACAGGGGAGCGGATGCCGGAGAGCAGACGGCGGGGGGCGCGGGCGCGCCTGGAACGGGCGAGCCAAACGCATCGGCTCCCTGACGGAGGAGGCAGAGGAGGAGGGGGAGGACAGAGGGTGGATGGAGGAGGGAGGAGGATGGAGGGAGGAGGCAGGAGGGAGGAGGGAGGAGGCAGGAGTAAGGAGGGAGGAGGGAGGGAGGAGAAGGAGGAGAAGGAGGAGGAGGAGGCGGAGGAGTCGAAGGAGGAGGGGAAGCAGCGAACGAGGGGCCGCCCGGGAGCCCGCCGCGCCTGGCGTCATCGCCATCGTCCCGGCGGCTCCAGGCGGCGGCGCTCGCGCCCCATGGCGGGCGGCCCCGCCCCCTCCCCAAATCTCGGCGGCGGACGAGGTGGCCGGGCGGGCACGGTGAGGGGAGATGGGGCGGTGAGGCGCTGGACGAAGAAAGGGGCGGAGGGAGGAGGGGGAGGAGGAGGGGGGGGGGAGGGGGAGGAGGAGGAGGAGGGGGAGGGAGGGGAGGAGGAGGAGGAGGAGGAGAGAGGAGAGGAGGAGGAGGAGGAGGAGGAGGAGGGGAGGAGAGGAGGAGGGAAGGAGGAGGAGGAGGAGGGAGGAGGAGGATGAAGAGGGAGAGGGGGAGGGGGAGGGGGAAGGGAAGGAGGGGGAGGAGGGGGAGCTCCCTGCAGTGAGCAGGGGGCGCTCTTTCGAGCGAAGAAAGGGGCCCGGGCCTAGGCCCCGCGGCCCCAGCGACGCCCAAAAAAGCGCCGCCGCAGCACCCCCCCCGAGACCCAAGAGAGCACAGCTCGCCAGCTTTTGGTCGGGCGTGTCCCCCTACCGGGGGATTCTGGACGAAAAATAAAACATATATGCAAAACAATGCTCCCAAAAGATGCCCAACAAATGCTCAACAAATAGTCCCCAAACCTCCTGTAGAGGGACAGGCCCGACTTAACGCTAGTTCACTTGGCAAAAGGGGGTTCTGCGGACGGATCTTTCCGCGTAGCGTCTCGCGGTGGCGGCTCCGGCGACACGCCATGCCCTGCAAGCGGTTAGCGTGCCGTACCGAATCGTACTGGGCCATAACTGGCGACGCGACACGCTAAGCAAAAGTTCCTGACCGCATCAACCTCCGATCGGCCTCCTCCGAAAGGAGAGGGGGAGGCAAGTGAACGCTTTTCCCATTCGGCGTTTCGACACTGGGCGGAAAGGGGGGGGCAAGGGGGGGTGTCTGGCTCCGGATCTCTGCTTGATGCGACTGTTTGCATCAGTGCATCCTGTGGGTGAGACTCCACCTGCCTCAAACAGGCGCCCCAAACAGCCCAGACCTGCTCCATGGGGGGGCAGGGGGTGCGAGTGCCCGCGCCGATCAGCAACACCAAGGATTGAGAAACCGATCGCCGTGGCCAGAGGCGGCGCGCTGCACGCGGCGGGCAATCGCTAAGGACTCCCAACTTCGCGCTTCGCGCTGCGCGAAGCGCGAATAACTTCGCGCTCTCGCGTCGCCCCCCCAAAGGGAGAAAAGGAGGACGAGGAGGGGGAGAAGGAACGAGGACCGCGAAGCGCGAATAACTTCGCGCCCTCGAGGGCGCCCTTGACTCGTGGAGGCCATGGCGATCCTCTTCCTCCTCGTCGGCGCCGTCGGCGCCGTCGTCGTCGCCCTGTTTCGCGGCCGGCTGGCCGCGGTGCGCCCCCTCGGCAGAGCCTCCGCCCGCGGCTCGCTCGCGCCGGGCCGCCCGCACTGCCGCCGCGGCGCGAGCCACGAGCCCGGCGCTCCTCCTCTGCATCGCCCTCATCCTCAGACTCGTCACCATCAGCATCAGCATCAGCATCAGCATCAGCATCAGCATCAGCATCACCATCACCATCGCCACCACCATCACCATCGCCATCGCCATCACCATTGTCGCCGTCGCCATCGCCATCATCATCACCACCACCATCACCATCACGATCATCATCGCCATCAGCATCACCATCGCCACCATCATTGCCCTCATCACCCCCATCCGCACCAACGTCGTCGCCACTATCATCAGCCACAGCATGCTCATGCTGATCAGGATCGCCATCGCAACCATCACTATCACCATCATAACCATAACTCCTAACCATCATCATCATCATCATCATCATCATCATCATCACCATCATCGTCGTCATCAGCATCACCATCATGATCATCGTCATGTTTATCACCATTATCACCATCACCATCGCCATCAGCATCACAATTATCATGATCGTCACCATCATCGACAACATCACCATCAACATCGCCATCATCACCATCATGATCATCATCATGGTCATCGTCACTGTCATCATCATTATCATCATCATCACCAACAGCGTCACCATCATCATCACCATCACCATCGCCATCACCATCACCATCATCACCGTCATCATCATCATCATCAACATCATCACGATCAGCATCATCATCATCATCATCATCATCATCATCATCACCATCACCATCATCATCATCATCATCAGTGTCATCGCCACCGTCCTCATCCTCATCTCCTCATCGTCAACATCTACATCATCAACATTCGTATTGATTCGGTTTAGAATGCTGGGCGGCGCCAGCTTGGACCAGTGATGCCCCGGGGCCATGCATTAATTCAGATCCAGTAGGGTCGGTGTAGTACCGCTCCCGCTTCTGAACCCCTGTGACTGAGTGCCCGGTTATCATCATCATCATCATCATCATCATCATCATCATCATCATCATCATCATCATCATCATCATCATCATCATCATCATCATCTTCATCAACACCCTTATCCTGATCCTGATCCTCCTCCTCCCGCTCCTCATCATCATAATTGCCACCACCATCACCCTTCTCATCAACATCATCACCACCATTATCGTCACCATCAACATCATCGTCATCATCATCAACATCATCATCGTCAGCATCACCATCATCATCGTCATCATCACAATCAGCTCTCATCGTCATCATTATCATCATCGTCATCATCAGCATCACCAGCAATATCATCATCAGCATCAGCATCATCGTCATCATCAACATCATCATCATAATCATCATCAGTATCATTATCGTCATCATCATCGTCATCAACATCATCGTCATCATCTTCATCGCCAGCGTCTTCGTCGTCGTCACCATCATCAACAGCAACTGAAGCAGCAGCATCAGTATCGGCATCAGCAGCATCATCATCAACACCAGCGTCAGCGTTATAGTCGTCATCATCACCACCATCATCATCATCATCATCATCATAATCAGGAACAGCAGCTGCAGCAGGAGCATCAGCATGACCAGCAGCAGCATTAGCATGAGCATGAGCATGAGCATGAGCATGAGCATGAGCATTAGCATTAGCATCATCATCATCATCATCATCATCATCATCATCATCATCATCATCATCATTATTATCGTTATCATCGTCATCCAGCTGAATCCGCTCTGCCTCGTTACTCGATCGCCCAGTGCCGCAGCCGCCAACCACACCTCAGGGGCAACGAAAGGGGTGGGGGGGACTGGCGCAGGGGGGAATATTGAGTAGGAGTCGGCGATGCATCGCCGACACATCGGCGATAGGCCTCGATAGGCCAGGCGACCTGCGATTCGCTATTGCCGCGGCTGCATCCCTGGAAGGCTCCCCAATTGGGTCCGCGTAGATGGGTCAGAGAGTCGCGCCCAATGGCCGATGCATTACCAATGCATCGGCGACTTCGGCCATGCATCGGCGACGACGGGGTGGAGAAAATCGGGCTCCACATCGAGCCGCGCATCGCCGATGCATCGGCAATGCGGCGAACCTCCGTCCCCATCAAGCGGCGGTGCGCCCGGGGGGGAAGGCAGAGGGTGTGGGGCCTTCTCAGGAAGCAGTGGGGCTTCTCAGAGGCCTTCGCGCCCTCGGAGACGCCCCCGCCAGTGACCCTCAGAGTGTGGTTCGCGCCAACGCGTGCTTGTCCACCGAAGCCCTTGGACACGACGAGGGCAGCGTCATCAGGGCCGGCACGCGCTGCGTGCTGTCGGTGGATCAGAACGGGGTGAGCACACATTGGGCCAACACGCGTGCTGAGGATCGTCGACCCCTCAGTCTTCCAACCCGAGCACGCCCGCCGAATCACCTCCGGCACCATCCGGGAGGCCAGGAGTCCCCTCCTCCCTTCCCGACCACGTTCGCGCATCTCCGACAGAGGGCAGGCCTCTGCGACGCCAGGCTTGCCAAAAGCGGGCTCCACAAGTCGATGCGGCGCGACCCTCCGACCCTTCTTAGCTTTGGGCCGATTTGGGAGGCCAAGATGTATTGTTGATGCATCGGCGATGTGGCGCGACCCTCCGACCCCCATATCAACTCTGGCCCCATCTTGGGAGGCGTGTGTCCTCCTGCTCCTCGTCCTCCCTCCTCCCTCCTCCCTCCTCCTCCTCCTCCTCCTCCTCCTCCTCCTCCTCCTCCTCCTCCTCCTCCTCCTCCTCCTCCTCGACCCTGGCCCCAAGCTGGGATGCCAGGGGGGTCCGCATCCTCCCCTCGCCTCCCCACGCTCGCGCAACTCGAGGCGGAGGGCGGCAGCGCCCGGGCCGAGGCGGCGGGCCCCAGGGGGGGCGGCCGCCGGGAGGTCAGGACGTCAGGCCCTGCGGTCTTCTCACCTGCGCGGCTCGGGCGGGGGTGGCCCTGAGGGGCAACGCCACGGGGGGAGTCCGCTCAGGGGGGGGGGCGGGGGGACCTCGCGCTGGAATCGGCGACACATCGCTGACGGATCGGCGATGGGCCCTCGAGAGCGGATGCGCACGCTCCCGAGCGGGGCGGGCCGTGGAGATCGGCGACGCATGGGCGACTGGGGTGCGCTGCTTCCCCCCCCGGAGCCCCTCCCCCCTGACACTCCGCGGGCAGCAGAATCTCACGAGCCGGCCTCGGAGAGGCAGGGCGGGAGCCCCCGGGGCCCGCCCGAGGGGCAGGGGGCCCCCTCTCTCCGCGACCCATCGCTGGAACGCCAGCTCGCGAGGCCCACTGCAGGGACGGGGCCCCCGCCCGGGCTCGGCCTCGACGTCGCGCAGCCTCGCGCGGCGGTTGGCGGGGGCGGGGCGCCTGAGTGCGCACTCCTGGGGGAAGGGCCGGCCTCGCCAGCAGAGGCGCACCACACGTCCGTGAGGTGCCGCGGGCGGGCAGGGCCCCCCGTGCGGTGGGCCCAGATCGAGCAGCGTCGGGTCGGGAACGGCCGCGCCAGGATGCACCACGGCGCCGTGCTGGGGAGAACCGTAACCGTGTTAGAGGGAGGGAGGTTGCTGAGCATTTTCTCAGGGTGGAGGGCTCAGGGCGAAATCCAGATGGGCTTTGGCACATCGAAAAGCAATCCGTCTTGTGATTCAGGGAGGTTGCTGAGCACTTTCTCAGGGTGGAGTGCTCAGGGTGAAAGCCATGTGGGCTTTGGCAAGTCGAAAAGCAATCCGTCTTGTGACTCACCGTTTGCAGGTCCAAGCCTGGAGCATTTGTCGAAACGGCATTTCAGACTCTACCCTTTGCCCTCCATCCAAAAAGATGCTCGGGGTTGGGAAGATGAAGGGCATGAGCAACAGCATCCCGATGCAGTGAACGATACCCTCTGCCGCCTAAGGGTAGTGAAATCCGAACTTCTCCCAGACCAATCCTCCCAACCCGATGATTGCCTTCCTGACATGCAAGCATCGGGCCGCCTCGGATCGCCGGAGTGGCGAAGCATCAAGTTCTGATCGGGGCGGCCAGACTCGATATCGAATCGGATCGATCGGATCGAGATGGACCCTGCGGGCAGCATGGGGCAGCGAGGCTTCTGCTCATGCGTCGGACGAGGAGCACCAGAGCATTGTTGCCACGCCATGCAGCGCACGATTGCGAACACATTGCTGCATGACTTGCTGTAGGCGTGCATGCATGTATGTCTGTTGCGCCACCCGTAGCGGCCGAGGCTCGAATCCAGAAGTCATCCAGCACGTTCTAGAGCCATGCAGAGGGTGGGGAAACAAAAGGTACCGATACCGCTACTACCCGGACCTCTCCTGGGGCGCGTTCTGGCAAGGATTTCGAAGCGAAGCCAGCTGTGGCGACGAGGGCGCCCAGGAGGCCCCCAAAGGGGGAAACGAGGGAAGGGTAGCGGGTGGCGGCATGGGTACCTCTTCCTTCCCCGAACATCTGCGCGATCACAGCTTCAGAGCTCTGTGGTCTCGTCGAGGCTCCTGCCCGTGCGACAAGCGAGGTGCACCGCCGCCGCGGAGGCCAGAGCCAGCCGTGAAGGCGACGCAGGACACCCTCGCCTGTGCAAACAGACCGCCGTGGTCCTTTCTCAAACCGCGGTCGGCATACTCTTTTTATGTCGGCGGCTAGGCAAAATAATTGCGCTGGCGGAAGAGCAATCAAAATGGGGAAACCGTTGAAGCGAATTGTGCCCCGATGCAGAAAATGGAGGAAGACAGGGCGGCGGCCGAAGGAGGGGAAAAGGAGCGAGGGCCGCTCAAGGGGACGGGTCACACCTGGAGCGCGTGGCGCGGCCGATCGGTCGGCCTACACAGTTGAGTTCTGGACAGACACCAGCATTCTTCCATGTTTGGTGGCAATTGCCCCCCCCCCCCCCCCCCCACACCCCTCCCACACCTGAACGGGGGCGAAGGGGGGGGGGCGCGGCTTCAGCTCAGAAGCCGGCACCGCAGGGTATCCGCGGAGCTCGTTCCGGCTTCCGTGCAAACGCCTCGGGGGGGCCTGCTTGAACTGGCAGCTTGTCCCGAGAGCCCGTTTCTAACTGTTTCTTAATGCGTGGCAGACTTCGGAAACCCTGAACCCAAAAATGGTTTCATCTCTCGGAAAACAACTTTTTACTTCCGCCAGCTTACGCCAGCCTTCCGCCGACTTCCGCCAGCGGAGACAGCCTCGTTTTACTTCCGCCGACCTTCCGCCGCCCTTCCGCCGAGGAAGAGATGACAACTCCTTCGATCCTCGAAGGCAAGGCCCTTTTTGGAACGCATCACGTGTGCCCGGAAGCTCTCCAGAATGTCCTTCGGAGGCTCCCTCCAAGAGCTTCTGGAGCTCTCTCTCTCCAGAGGCTTGTGGATGGCCCTTCTGGCGCTCCGCTGTCTTGGCTTTGGATTCCACGAGTGACCACCCCCACTGGAACCCGGGGGGGACATGAGAAGGCGCGGGCCTTCTCAGAAGGCTCGGAAGTCCCCCGGCCTTCTGAGAGGCCTTCAAAGCCTCCCCCGACGACACAAAAAACTTCCCCCAGAAGGCGCGAGGGCTTCTGGGAAGGCGGTCTCCTTCTCGCTTCCCCCCCTCGCTCGCCGCCGACGTGGCGCAGGCGAAGGGCACCGCCGCCGCGGAGGCCAGAGCCACCCGGGAGGGGGGGGGGGGGCGCGGCGCGCGACGAGACTGCCAGCTGCAGCACTGCAGGGGCGCGGCGGACCACGGGGCGCCCAACCGAAGCCGAGGCACCAGCGCACGCAGGGTGCCCCCGCCGACAGACGCCAGGGGGGGGGGCCACATGCGAGCCCTGCCCCTGCCCCCCACGATTTCTGAGGGTGAGGGTGGGGTTCGCAGGTGGCCCCCTAGACGCAGCGCGCAGCACGCAACCCGCAACCCCTATAGACCGCAGCACGCCACCCGCAGCGCGCACGCACGCCACCCGCAGCCGCAACCCTTCGAGCCACGAAGAGTCATCACGACGGATGGCCTTTCGCCATCTGCGGCCTCTGGGGGCCCCTCTCCCGGGCCTCGGGGCCGTCAGAAACGCTTCGGGGTGAGACACTGGTCCCTGGGAATGGGTCGAGACCTCTGCTGGTCGGCGTTATTGAAAACGTCATGGCATAGGGGATCTGGGCAGGCAGACCGAACACGTAGGTCTGGCGTGGTGCGCTCGCAAAAAAACGTGGGCAAACAAATGCCGAGCCAACACGCAGCGCGTCAACACTGACGTTTGAGCACGGCGCGTGTTGCGCTTCAGCACGGGCGTATCAGGGTAACTATAAGGCCGTGACACGCGGTGGTCTCACAGGGCACGCCACGAGGGCTGTCATGCAGGCGATACAACTGATCGTCTACACGATGCGTCGCTTCCAGGTCTGCGTGGTGCGCGATCTCGCACGTTGGACATCGGACATCAGCACGATACGGCTGCAAACTCGCAAACCTGATCGGACAAGAGCGGGAACCGCCGCTTTAGTCCAAGGGGCTTACTGGGGGAAGACGAAAAAGAAAAGGAAGGCGAAGGCGACGAGGAGGCGATGACGAGGACGACGTGGAGAACGTGAGGTGAGGATAGCGAGGAGGAGCATGAGGACAACGAGGAGGAAGAGCAACACCAGGACGAGGACGAAGAGAACGAGGGCGAACACGAGGACGGATGCGGAGGCAAACGCGCAGATCCGCCACCGTGTCGCGAGGCACGGAGTGTAGTGTCCACAGGGCCCTTCGGTGTCTCGGCGTCGAGTGCGGCACGTGCTATCTGCAAGCTTCGAGGCCTGGATTCCTGCACGCTCGGTCGTGGTGTCGGGCGCTCCCGGGGCTCGTCGCGTGTGGCTGTTCTGGAGGCTTCGGGGGCGTGGTCGGGACTCTGTGCGTCCGGTATGTTTTGAAACTGTTCCGAGCGAGGCGAGGCGAGCGCGCGGTGCCGCCGAGGGGCGGCGGGGCCCGTCAAGGCCTGGGCGGGGGGGGGGGCGGAACCCTCAGCGCATGTTGTCCATGCTTGCGAAGCTGGTTGGCGCTGGAGGTCGGAGTGCTGAGTTCTGAGCTGTTGGACGCTGGGGGGCGATAAGGTGGAAGTGGGAGCGGAAAGTTGGATGCTGGATTCTTAGGGTCGGAGTGCTGAGTTGGTGGAGGTTGGAGGTCGTTCGTTGGAGGTGGAAGTGGAGAGCCAGGTGTTTGATGCTGGATGTCGTAGTGCTAGGCTGGTGGACGCTGGCTGGAGGTCGATAGGTGGAGGTGCAGCTGGAGGTGAGAAGTCGGAGGTTGAACTGGTGCATGCTGAAGGTCGATAGGTCCTGTAGGTGGACGTGGTAGTGGAAAGTCGGACGCCAGGTGCTGTGCGTCTGAATGCTGAAAGGGCATGTCGGATGCCAGATGCTGGAGGTCGGAGCGTTGAGCTGGAACGGTCTGGACGTCCATAGATTGAGATGGGAGTAAAACATCGGATGCCGGATGCTGAAGGTCCGGATGCTGCGCTAGGAAAGGCTGGAGGTCGATGGGTGGGGGTGGATGTGGAAAAGCGAATGCGGTAAGTGGACCTGGAGGTGGGAGTGCAGAGTCGGAACGTGGAAGTCGGAAGCTTGGAGCCTGCATTCAAATCCAGCCTGTCGTGGATCAACTGCGCGACCTGCGCAGAGGGGCCTGAGCCCGCGATTTGTGTCGTCTGCATGTTGGACTACAGCGTACTGCATAAACATGTCTTCTAAGCCATATGAAGTAAAACTTCCGCGCGCCAGTGCAAAACACTATTCGCAGCCAATGTCGTCGGATAGTATCCTGTCGTGATCGATCATATCCACAGCTTAACGATCTCGTGGTCCCAGCGCTTCCGCAGTCCGCCCCGCTTTCGCTGGGCTGGTCTCTTGTCGTGAAGGTTGGCAAACGGCTGCACGTCTCGCTCATCGGTCGGGGGGTAAACTCGCAACCCAACTGGCCCATCTCCACGTTGTTGTCTACCATCATGTGGTGTTGGGTTCTCGTTTTGAACAGCCAGCGCCCCGCGTTCATTCCTCGATCCTTTTTCCTCCCCCTCCCTCCTCCCATCCCTGTTTCTGCCCTGCATCTGCCCTCATCTCGTCACCATCATGCGTACCCGCACCCAATCCGGCAAACCCCTTACACATGTCGTGGTCCCCCAGAAAACTCCACCGAAGGCTCCAACGGCAAGGTTCGGCACACCCCTCACACGTCTCGTGGCCCCGAAGGGAGACCCACCGAAGGCCCAAGCGGCAATGTCCGCATGGCGCGCCCGCATCCCATTCAGCACAATCCACACACGTCTCGTGGCCTCAGAGGGATCTCCACCGAAAACCCCTGTGGCAAGGTCCGCATGGCTTACCCGCGCCCGATTCGGCGCACCCCTCGCACTTTTCGTGGACCCATAGGGGATTCCACCGAAGGCCCTGGCGGCAATGTCCGCATGGCGTACCCGCACCCGATTCGGCACACTCTTCACACGCTTCGTGGCCCCATAGGGAGCTCCACCGAAGGTCCCAGCGGCGGGGTCTGCATGGCGCACCCGCACCCGATTCGGCACAACCCTCGCACGTTTCGTGGCCCATAAGGCGTTCCACCGAATGCCCCAACGGCCGGGTTCGCATGACGTACCCGCACCCGATTCAACACACCCTCAGACGCTCCGTGGCCCCATAGCGAGCCCCACCAACGGCCCCAGCGGCAAGGTCGGCACGGCGTACCCGCACCCGATTCGGCACACCCCTTCACACATTTCGACGCCCCTAAGGGGACTCCACCGAAGACCCCAGCGGCAAGGTATGCACGGCTTTCCGGCACCCTATACGGCACACCCCTCACACGGTTCGCACGCCCGAAGGGAGCTTCAGCGAAGGCTCCAGTGGCAAGGTCGGCATGGCGTACCCGCGTCTGATTCGGCACGCCCCTCACACGCTTCGTGGCCCCATCGGGAAGCTCGGCGAAGGCCCCAGCGGCAAGGTCGGCATGGCGCACCCGCATCCGAGTCGGTTCACCCATCAAACGTGCCGTGGCCATCTGGGAGTTCCATCCAAAGCCCGGGTGGCAAGGTCCTCATGGCGCACCCGCCCCATGTCCGCACACCCCTCGCTCCTCCCCATGTTTCTTTTCATTTGCCTCGCGGTACCTGCTGCTTCAGATGGTTGGGCCCTTCGCCAAGAGAATTTTGAGTAGTGCGAAACCCATTCGTCGACTTGCGCTCGTTCGGCATGGGCGTCGGCTGCGTGCGTCGCTCGTCGGATGAAGTGCCCATGGCTCTAACACGTCGTTGCTGCTGCTACTGCCGTTGCTGCTGCTGGTGCTTCCGTCGTCATCGCTGTCGTTGCTCTTGGCACTGCTGTCGTCATTGGCATCGTCATTGTTGGGAATGTCGTCGTTGTCTGGACTGTGTTTGGCAGAGTCTCTGGCGGATCCTGCGGATCCTGCTCAGTCTTTTCCCTCTTGCTGGGGGTTGAGAGCTTGGCGGGACTTCGCGTCGTCATTCTGGTAATTCCCCAACGAATGTCCCCGGCAAACGTTCACGTTGATCCGGACCATCTTCCGCTTTGTTCGCCGCAATACTGTAACCATGTCCTTGGTTATGGTCCGCGAGCTGCATCCGCACATGTCTGTGGGCATCACGGCCCTATTGAAGAGGCGCAAGATACTTGTGATAGGGTAGCGTTTGTATGTCAGTTCGTGCCTTAGCTGGTCGAACAGGCGCCAGCCCGAAACTATCATGTTCTCGAGCTCCATGTTGTGGAAATCGTGGTGTGGAGATTCCTGCCCGCATACTTCGTGCTCCGCGTTGCGTCCAGGATCTCTGCGCTTTCCCCTTCGATGATTGCGACCTTGATTGTTTCGCCGTGTCGCAGGGTGACGTTGGACAATCTCTTTGTCTTGTCTGGGTGTAGACTCGGAACTCGGAACTCGGACCTGCAACTGTCGCAGGCCAGGGCGTCGCAGGTGGGCGCCGTAGCGCCGGGCATGTGAAACATGTACGTAGCTGAAAAATCAGCATAACAAATAATGATGCACATATACAAACACTACACTGCATAACTAAGAAAGAGAAGAAACAGTCCTGAATACATACGTTGGCTCGAGAATCCCCGACACGTCAGTATCAGCAATGGACACCCAATTTGGTCCGGCATGTTGTCGGATGTCGTCACACCACCGCATTGCGCTGATTGGATCCTGAGGTCGCGCAACTGGATCTTGCGGTCGCATTGCGCTGATTGGATTGCGCTGATTGGATCTTGAGGTCACGCAATAAACATTTCACCTGCCACAAATTCGGGCCACATCGTAAAACGTTGTCTGCAATACGGAAGTTGGTGAGGAGGCAGGCTGTGGCGAAGCCCATCTCTATGCCAAACTGCTTTTTGTGCTATGTCTCGTTCGTGGGTCGAAAGATGTGTTCAAGTAGTGCGTTGAAGAGTAATGGGCTCAGTGGGTCTCACTGGTTCCCACCTCTCTGGGAGTTTTTGTTGCTAATGTTGTCTACCCATACCCTAGCGGTTTGGTCGGTGTAGTTTGTGGAGGAGGTGGATGTAGGATGTCGGCATCTGCTGCGTATTGAATGATTGCCATCGTGCGTTGTGGCGGGCAGTGCCAAACGCTCTCTTGAAATCGATCGCCGCAACCCGTAGTGTTACGTGCAATTCGTCTGACTGGTTGTGCCAGAGCGCCGTCGTGAATAGGTGGTATTCGGTGCTGTAGCCGCGTGTGATGCCAGCTTGGTCCACGCTTTCCTGCTTGCCTAAGAGTGACCCTCGTCGGCTGTAGAAGAGTCGAGACATAAGCTTGTACAGGAAAGGGATGCTTGCAATTGGTCTGTAGTTCTGTGGCAATTTGGGGTCGCCCGATGAGAAGATTACGGTGGTCGTGTTGCGCTTCCACTGCTCTGTCGGAGGGTGGTCTGGGCGAACGATGTCATTGAACTGGCGTTGCAATTTTTTTGTTGGTGTGCGCCCTGCCTGCCTTCAACATTTCTGCAATGATCCAGGCTGGGCCCGTCCTGGAGCCCTCTTGGGCACCCCTTGGGCCGTTTTGGAGGCTCTGGGAGCCGCACCAATATGCGAACACCAGATAGAAAAAAACATCAGGATTTCAATGATTGCAGCATTCTTGCCGCTTCGGCTGAAGAACAGCCCGAGACGGCACAAGAGGCCTCAAATATCGCACCAGGGGACGGCCCGAGAGACCCTCAAGAAGGCCCAAGATGGCCTCACAGATGGCCCCAAGAGGGGGAATATCGAACTGAAATGTCGGGCTCTCCCCCCAAGGTTTTCATCAAGACCACCTCCGCGTCCCAAAGCGGCGCAAAAGAAGTAACCAAAGGCTCCCAGGAGGTTCACATGAGGCCCCCAGGAGTCGAAACAGGGAAAAGACTGTTGAGACTGACGAAGTCACGGCGTCGGAGGTCTGGGGAAGCGTAAGGAATGGAGGGTAGACAAGACAAGACAAGGCAAGACAAAACCGATCGCAAAGCGAATCACAACCGAGAAATTACGCCTGAGCCGCCTGCTCAGCCTCGCTCAGCGCTTTCGGCCATAGGCCGCGAGCGGTTCACCCGAGCGGGTGCCAGCTACATCCCGACAGCTAAATGGAGGGGAGGGGGACAGAGGGAGGCATGGGGGGGAGGGGGGAGGTGAAGGGAAGCGATGAGGTGGGGGGAACTGGCTCAGGGGAGGAAGCGTTGACGCGGATTCGGCGATAAATCGCAGATAAATCTGAGATAGGCCCTCGATAGCGAATCCACACGTCCATAAATGCGGGGCGGGCTGGCGGGCTCGCATCGGCGACAAATGGGCCATTGGGTCGATGCTTCCACTCATGAGCCTATTCCCCCCTAACATTGCCCCTGGAGGGGGGGGGGTCGCTCTCCAGTTTCGCATCGGAGGAACAATCTGAGACGCGGCCACTCGGTCAGCAGCTGCCGATGCAGACGCGGCCCCACCGCAGAGGAGGACAAGATGAGAGCGAGAAGCGCGACAGGCCCCCCCCCCTGAAGTGGGCCAGGGACACACATGTAAACATGTAGACACACTTCCCAGGACCCCCCCACATATATATATATATATATATATATATATCCTCTCTCGATGTTTGTCCTCCCCTCCCTCTTCCCATCTTTTCTTCTGGGGGGGAATCGACGACTCTTGGTCTCTGTGTGTTTCCTGGCCCCCCCCCCACACGCCTGCAGCATAGGAGCTCGGCCACGAGAGACCTCCCACCAGAGACCCAGCCCTGAGACCCCGGGAGGTCCATGGGTTTCTTTGGTGTGGGAACGTCCCGCTGCCCATCGCAGAAACATCGAAGCCCTAGAAACCCAGGGCACCCTGGAGGCGAGCAGGGTGTTCCTTGGCATGGGCTTCCACTGCACAGTCGTCGTGCTACCGTTGGGGGGCGCAGGGGATTGTCTGGCCACGGCGGGCTTGGGCAATAGAAGGGCTCCACGACGGAGACCTCGTGAGCGGCCCGAGAAGCCGAGCTCCTCCAGAGCTCCAGGCGGTCGTTCCTTCGGCGTCTTGGTTGTGTCCCCCCTGACGTTGCGGCGGCGGCGACGACCACGACGACGACGACCACGGCGACCACGACGACCACGACGACCACGACGACCACGACGACCACGACGACGACGACGACCACGACGACGACGACGGCGACGGCAGAAGGGGGCGCGGCGCCGCCATCGCGGGCCTCCACGCCGTTGTTCATGGTCCCGACCATGAAGGACCTCAGGTAGCCCTCGGGCGCGTGCATGCCTCGGCACCCGCGGGTCGCCCCCCCCCCCCCCCCCTCGGACGCCCCCGGGGCAAGGACGAGGAGGCAGAGCGCAGCTGGACCCTCCGCCTCGCACGCGGCTTCCGCCAGCCTTCCGCCGGAGGAGCCGCCCCGCTTCCTACCTCCGCCGCCCTGCCCCGAACTTCCGCCACCCTCCGTCGAGGCAGGGGCGTCGACTCCTCCGATCCTCGAAGGCGAAATATTATCTGGAGCCCGTCAGGCGTGGCCGGCTCCGGACACCCTGAGACCGGAATGGTGGACATCTCGTTCTTACGTACGCCGCCTTCCGCCGGCGGGGAGGGGGAGAGGCGGAGGAGGAGGAGGAGGAGGAGGAGGAGGAGGAGGAGGAGGAGGAGGAGGAGGAGGAGAAGGAGGAGGCGGAGGAGGAGAAGGAGGAGGAGGGGGACGAGGAGGAGGAGGGGGGGGAGGAGGAGGAGGAGGAGGAGGACAGAGGTATAAGATCGAGGTCGATTCGGGGAGGGTGCCCTAAATGTTCTTCGTGTTTGTTGGGTGTTCTTGTGCTTCCTCTGGGGAGGGTGCCCTTGCCCTGTGCACGCGGACCGCTAACCCGAGTAAGCGATTAAGGACCCCCCCCCCTCTCCGGTGAAAGGATAACGCACCCGGCACCCGGAAGCGTTATCCTGGCACCAGGAGGGGGTTATCTTAGCCTTTCCTTAGCTTTCCTCAGCTTTTCTCAGCTTTTTCTTAGCTTTTCTAAGCTTTTCCTTAGCTTTCCTCAGCTTTTCCTTATTCGTATTCGTATTCTTATTCTCATTACAAGTCTAATTGGGATGCCACCCGAGGCGGGGCGCTGGAATTTTTTATTTTCCTTCCATTATCGCTCGGCGACCCCCCCCCCAAATAATTATTTAATTACGGCGCGGTGCTAATGAGAACGCCGGGGGGGTCCTTAATTGCTTCTCCGGGTTACGCCAGCGGCCTCCAGCGTGGTGCGGTCGGGTCGAGGGCCCCTGTGGCTCGAGGCGGAAGTTGGCGAGAAATATCTCGACAAACGTTCTTACGTGATCTGGTGGTCAAAGGAACTCCTGGCGACCAAGAGAATGGGGAGGCCTGTTCACCACAGCCCAAAGAAGACGAACCTCTCCTCGGAGGGGGTCGAATGCAAGGGGCCAGGTCCGCAGCTAAGGCGACTATGGGGCGTCGTCAGGATGCGTTTGAAGAACAAGTCTGACAGCTTGCGCAGGTGGTGGCCCAGGCGTTGCGAAGGCTGGGCTATGCCGACGTGGAGGTGCCGACGAGCAGCAAGTCGACAACGACACGGACCAAGAAGAATTATAAAACGAATGGAAACAAACATAATATTAATACTCAGAAAAATAATGCGAATGAGAAGAACAAGAGGAGGAACAGGGAGGAGGAGCGAGGATCGAGGAGCGAGGAGCAAGGAGGAGGAGGAGGAGGAGGAGGAGGAGGAAGAGGAGGGAGAGGAGGGAGAGGAGGGAGAGAAGGAGGAGGAGGAGAAGGTGAAGGAGGAGGAGGAGGAGGAGAAGGAGGAGCGAGGAGGAGTGAGGCGGGGCGCGGAGGAGGAGGAGGAGGAGCGAGGAGAAGCGAGGAGGAGCGAGGAGGAGGTGGTGGAGGAGGAGGAGGAGGATGAGGCCGAACCACCAACCTTAATGAAGATCAAGGCCCTGTTGAAGAAAGTGAGCTCCAGCAGGCAGACCATCACAAAGGAACAAGGGCAGGCCAAGCTTCGAGAGCGGGTGAACCTGTCTACGTTTCCCTCTGTTACGCCGCCACAACCAACAGCGGAGAAGAATCGTCCAGCATTGACTTCGCAGACGTGGGTTTCAGCTTCCATCGCGAAGGCCAATGCGATCAGGACTGTCGACATCACAGGTCAGTGCGTCATCGTGTGCCTGTCGACGGCGGAGTTCGAGAATGCGACGAGCTGGTTGCGGTCTACTGCCACACCTGCGGGGGTAACGCGCGTAATGTTCAACTCGGCCAAGACACTCGATGGATGGGCTGCGCACGGAGTTACGGTGGACTCCACGCTTAGACACTAGGAGACGGGGGCCCAGTCACCTCGACGAGGACGACTCCCCACTCAGGCTAAAGATGACGGAGAGCTTATTGCGACTGCGTTGAAGACGGCGGCAGTCAGGGTGACGGTCGAGGTCAGCGTTGCCGATGGTGATCTCTGCAGTGCGGTAGTTAAGGGACAAGCCCGTCTCCATCGCCAGTCTGCTGGTCAATGAGGTCTCAGCTGAGAAGATCTGGAAAAGACGACAGAGGCGGTGGCCTCGGCGATCCTGATACGCTGAGGAGCTGACTTGCGGGAGTTCCTGGCTTGGGCACCACCTGCTGGAATCTTCCTGAACGGTCAGGGGCCTAAGCTGGTGCCAATATGGCACAAACTGCGTGAGAACGAGACGCACGCCGTGCATCATGCTAGAGTTCATGCGGTGGCTGCTACGGCTGCTGGAAGAATGGTGTCTCGACCTTCCGAGATCTTTAAGTTCGGGAGGCCCCAAGAGCCTTCCCAAGGGGACCTCGAGAAGCAAAGTCATTGATCGCCCGTACGTTGTTTACTTTTTTTCGGATTCTCTCATTTTCGAGCATCCGACGTCCCAAGACGACCCAAGAAGCCAGCATGATTGCCCCAAGACGGCTCAAGAAAGCTCCAAGACGGCCCAAGAGGCGCCCGAACATGCCCAGGATGGCGCTACATCGGCCCCAAGAACGACCCAAGAGGGTCGACACGAATCGACGATTCTGGCCTTCCGCCCCCACAGGGCTCAGGAGGCCCCGAATGGGCCAAAAGAGGCTCCCAAGAGGCACCCGAGAGGGACAAGAGAAGCAAAAACCATTGATTTGCTGGTGCTTTGTTTAATGTTGATTGGGTTCTCGCCTTTTCGAGCCTCCGACGCTCCAACCCGGCCACAGAGGCCCTCAAGACTCCCCCGAGACGGGTGAAGAGGCCTCCAAGAGAGCTCCAGGCCGTCCCAAGAGGACTCCAAGACGGCCCGAAAGGCGCCCTCGACTGCACAAGAGGGCCACAAGAAGGGCCCAAGAGTGGACACACTAACCGACAATCCGAGCCTTCCGCCCCTTGAGGCACCCCGCCGGCCCCCTCTCCTTCTCGAGCAGGTGCCGCCCTGACTGCTGCGCTTCCACGGTGGCAGAGCTGCCGGAGGCAGCCCGATCATTCCTCGAGCGCCCAGCGAGGAAGCCAACGGGCCCCCGAGATCGGGGGGGCCCTCGTGGGGCCCCCATCGTCGCCCCTGCACCTGATCAGGGCCTGCTGCCGCCAGGGCGCCATCCGTTCTGCCATGCGGCCAGCTGCAGACACCCTTCGACGGCGCGCGAGGGGGGGAAGCGAGAAGGAGAAGGCCTCCTCGGAAGGCTCGGAGGTTTCCCGGCCATCCGAGAAGCCTGCTCAGGCTTCCCCGAAGACAAGCCACAACTCTTCAGAGGGCGCGAGGGCCTCTGAGAAGTCCCACCGCCCTCTGAGAAGGCCTTCTCCTGCTCTCTTCTCCCCCCTCGCTCGCCGCCGAGACTCGGGCGTTGGTAGAACTGGGTTTAGTGGGGGCTGCACCCTTTGGCGGCGAGCGAGGGGGGGAAGCGAGAAGGAGAAAACCTTCTCAGAAGGCTCGGAAGTTTCCCGGCCATCCGAGAAGCCTTCTCAGGCTTCCCCGAAGACAAACCACAACTTCTCAGAGGGCGCGAGGGCCTCTGAGAAGTCCCACCGCCTTCTGAGGAGGCCTTCTCCTTCTCTCTTCGCCCCCCTCGCTCGCCGCCGAGACTCGGGCGTTGGCAGAACTGGGTTTAGTGGGGCCTGGTTTAGTGATGTGTACTGGGGGACGCCCCCCCGCCCCACTCCACTAACCGGCACTGCCGTCACCCTCAAAACACCAGCTACGGCAGACCTGGTTTAGCGATTCTGGCCAAGTCAGGGGCTCCGGGGCCCTACCGCTAATCGGGTCCCCTTACCTGGGCTCCTGGCTATATCCGAGAGACACAGGTGGACACAGGGTGAGGAGGAGGAGGAGGAGGAGGAGGCGGAGGAGGAGGAGGAGGAGGAGGAGGAAGGAGGAGGAGGAGGAGGAGGAGGAGGAGGGAGGAGGAGGGGAGGAGGAGGAGGGAGAGGAGGAGGGAGGAGGAGGGGAGGAGGAGGAGGAGGAGGAGGAGGAGGAGGAGGAGGAGGGGAGGAGAGGAGGAGGAGGAGGAGGAGGAGAGAGGGAGGAGGAGGAGGAGGAGGAGGAGGAGGAGGAGGAGGAGGAGGAGGAGGAGGAGGAGGGAGGAGGAGGAGGGGGAGGAGGAAGAGGGGGGGAGAGGGAGGGGGAGGAGGAGGAGGAGGAGGAGGAGGAGGAGGAGGAGGAGGAGGAGGAGGAGGAGGAGGAGGGAGGAGGAGGAGGAGGAGGAGGAGGGGGAGGAGGAGGGGGAGGAGGAGGAGGAGGAGGGGGGAGGAGGGGGAGCAGGAGGAGGAGGAGGGAGGAGGAGGAGGATGAGGAGGAAGAGGGGGAGGGGAGGAGGAGGAGGAGGAGGAGGAGGAGGAGGAGGAGGAGGAGGAGGAGGAGGAGGAGGAGGAGGAGGAGGAGGAGGAGGAGGAGGAGGAGGAGGAGGAGGAGGAGGAGGGAGGGAGGAGGAGGAGGAGGAGGAGGAGGAGGAGGAGGAGGAGGAGGAGGAGGAGGAGGAGGAGGAGGAGGAGAGGAGGAGGAGGAGGAGGAGGAGGAGGAGGAGGAGGAGGAGGAGGAGGAGGAGGAGGAGGAGGAGGAGGAGGAGGAGAGGTGCAGGCGCGGGCCGTGGGCGTCAGAGGGCCGAGCCCAGGTTGCCACTGGGGGCGCTCAGAGGGCCCCCTTGGTGGGGGTGGCGTGGGCGAGACGTCCGACGTCGAGGCGCCGGGCACGCCTGCGGGGCACCACTGCCAGGAGGCGTAGGAGGAGGCAGGCTTGAGCCTCGCCGACGCCGGTGCCGCCGACCCTGAAAGACATCGGCGACGACCAGGAGGGGGAGGAGGAGGAGAAGAAGGAGGAGGAGGAGGCGGAGATAAGGATGCGGAGATAAGGAGGAGGAGGAGGAGGAGGAGGAGGAGGAGGAGGAGGAGGAGGAGGAGGAGGAGGAGGAGGAGGAGGAGGAGGAGGAGGAGGAGGAGGGAGGAGGAGGAACAGGACTCCCCCCTGGCCGCCCCCCCTTGGGCCCATGTGTCCAAGGAGCCGTCTCGGGGATGCACGAGTTCAAGAGGAAGCCTGGCTTCCGCTTCCAGCCTTTTCGCTATCTCCAGATTTAGCACAATGCCTTTGTGGCTCGTAACAAGGAATGTCGTCCTGACTCAGCTTACGGACGGCCTGCAGCGCGGACACCTTGCAGCATACAGATATGACGAACTCCTGGGTGCAACTGCGGAAGCCAAGCGCGCGCGCTTTGTATGCGCGTCGTTCTAGCGCAAAGCACGAAGCGAACAAACTGAACGCCACTGCAAGCAGAATTGGCACCCGCATTGCAAGCACTTGTCAGGTCGGTCGGCCAAAGGAGTGTGCGAAATGTAGAGCGAAGACACATCATCACCCATGGAGCTAGAATGCACATCGTGCCTGGTCTGTCGACCAATGAAGTGCACGAAACGCGGAGCAGAAAGCCTGATTGCCCCTGTTGTTGCAAACATTTGACCCGCCTGACACACACAAACTGTCTGATCGGTCGGCCGATGGAGTGTGCGAAATGTGGAGCGAAACGCAGGACTGTCCAAGGGATTCTAACACTTAACGTCCGCATGGCGCACATGTTCCTGGTCTGTCGGCCAAGGGGGCGTGCGACATGCCGAGCGAAGCAAATCATTGTTGGGATGACCCTAAGGTTCCCAAACATACCCCCATCTGCACCACACTAGATGCAGGAGGGCCCCCAGCAGCCGAGGACAGTCCGAGAGGGCCGCAATATGCACCAGACGTGGTCCTCGAGAGGGGCTCCCCTTGAGGGCTCGGAGATGCTGAAGAAGAGCAAAACCAGCCAGATTTCATCGGGCTGGGGTTCTAGAGGGTCTGCCGCTGGAAGCGCCTTGAGATACCCTTGGAGGCCCATGTGAACATTTTTCAAACGAGGCTGGGCAGCGAACGTGGACAAGGATGGGCCGAAGGGGCAAGGATGCAAGGGTTTCCTTGGGAAGGTTGCCCATCCTTACTATGCGGGCTGACTGTAGGTCTCGGTGGGGGGCTCCTGGGACAATTACTGGTTTAGCCACGCATTTCGCGCGCACCCTGGAGCGCACGACCGAACAAGTGTGCGCCAGGCAGATTTTCACTCTTCCCATGGGAGGGCCAAGTGGCGGAGAGCCCAAAGAAACAGTTTGGGAGTTCCGGGTTCGAGGCTCGAAGTCTTCGGTAAATTTCGCGAGTTCTCGGGGGTTGTCCAGCCTCGGGATGCGTTGCAGCGGCTGCGCCTCGCCGAGGGCGTTCCGGGGGTGCCCGGATCGTCGCGAACGGTCGCCGGGGACCCGAGTTATAACCCGAAAACTAAACAAGGCGGCGAGAGGGAGCAGGCCTGTTCAGCAGGCGGTGGGGCTTCCTCAGGAGCCCGCGCGCCTTCTGAGACGTCGTCTCGGCCTTCTCCGAAGGCACGGAAGGCTCAGCAGAAGGCGCTGGGCCTTCTGAGAAGCCCCGCTGCCGTTTGAGGAGGCCTGCTCCCTCTCACTCTCCATCTGGACTCGCCGCGCCGAGCCAGCATCATCGGACGGCCTGTCGCCACCGTGCTTTGGGACTCCCTGGCCTGCAGCACTGATCGGGGATCTGCTGACGCGGGTCAATCCAGACCCGGGTCAGCCGGGCCGTGCAGGATCCTGCAAGATCCTGCAGAGTCTTTTAGGATCCTGAACGCTGGCCTGGGTCGGTGCAGGGCCCTGCAAGATCCTGCAGGATCCGGCGCTCTGGCTGACCCCCGTTTGCATTGGCCCCCGTCTCGAGCCCCCGAACTGAACAAGTAGATCGCGCTGGGGGTGGGAGAAGGAGCGGGCAAAGTGATCTTGGAGTCCCGAAACGGTGCGGTGACAGCCCGTGCGGTGACCTCGACATCCCCAAAGAGCTCACTGCACGATCCGTCACCGCACGGTCTTGGGACCCCGGAGGCCCCTGGCGCCCGAGACGTCCTCAGAGAACGAACCGAGTCCCAAAAAACCGTGCGGTGACCCCGAATCCCCACCGACTCACCGCACGGTGTGGTCACCACCCCGAATTGGGGGCTCCCGAATGATAAACGAAGCGGGCGCCGCCCGGGGGCCGGGCGAAGCAGGCAGGCCGGAGGGCTACAGCGGGACTGGCTCGCCGGCGAGCGTGGGCAGGCGAGCAGATCGGGCGAGCGTCTTCGGGCCGACATGCAGCCGGTGCCACGGTCATGGACTGTCTACCAGGCCACCCCAACCCAACCCGAAGACCCGACGAATTTCGGGTTGGGGGGGTGTACGGATTTCATCTGTGATTTTCCCATGCTCCCCGACGCCCCCCCACTGGGAATGGAGCGCCAATCGGGGTCTTCGGGTTGGGTTGGGGTGGTGCGGTGGCTGGTGAGTCATGAATTATGAACAGGCTGTCCAGAGGATCCTGGGCCAGCTCCCTGCCAGAACCTTAGCCATAAACCTGGTCAACATCACGCGAGCGACCCGAAGCGCGTGTAGAGTTCTAAGTGGGCTGGTCCTTATAAAACATTACGAAGCAACGCAGTGATCGGCAATTGTCAAGCGCTCCTCGATCCTGCTGCCTGCGATCAAGCGGTGCTCAAGCTTGGAAGGCTCATTCCGAGAAATGGCCTTGGCTGTGCCCTCCGCGTCTGTTACAGGGCAGAAGATCCCCCCCCATTATCATCACCCCGACACGCGAAGTCGTCTAGTACATGCACTTAAAGTAAGTATCGAACAGGGCAGGGCTGTGTAGTAGACGTTGAGGACCGCTCAGTAAACGCCAGTTGTCGGGTCCGGCCGGGCGTGTTTTCCTCCCTCGATCTGTGTCGCGGCGTTCAGGAATGCTGCGCGGCTTCTGACCCATCGCAATCCACTGAGTTATCGGGCTTTCTACCTGGCTTCTTGGCGCTTGAACGAAGCGCGCTGGGGTAGAAACATATCATCGTGTGTGGGGAGGTGGGGGAGAGAAAAAAAATGACGTGTCGGGGGGGGGGGAAGGGGAGGAACGGGAATAGGGGGAGGGGGAATGGACAAACTATTACAGGCGGGGTAACGGCACGAAGAGGTGTATGACGGAAAAGGAAGGGCAGGATGGACGGCAGGAGTTATGGGGGATGAGGTGGATCAAGGGGAGAAGAACGCACACGCGAGAGGACGGGAGGGAGAAGTGAGGGGAGGAACAACAGCGGCCGGGAGGAGGGAACCAACAGGGTGGGACACGGAGAGATGCTGTGGCGGAAGGGGGCACATGGTTGTGGGGTGGATGTGTGGAGCAGGAAGTCTGGGGGTATGCGCTAGTAGGCATCGGCGGGAGACAGAAGAAGCAGAGGAGGAAACAATGCGCTGGGAGGAAGGAGGGCAGCAAGAGGGGAGGGAGGCGGGACAAATGCTGGAGGAGGGAAGAAATGTTTGATCCGCGGGTCGAGAGCGCACCTCTTCCGGTCGAAGCGAAGCGGGCCGCGCACAGCTTTCATTAACAAAGGGGGGGGCAGCAGAGGAGGGAAGACGCGTGGTGGGACAAATGGGAAAAGACATGGATGGATGAAACAATGGGGCGACCGAGTGGAACCATTTGGGCAGCGGGGAAGGTGAAGGGGACGGGAAGAAAAGTGATGTGGAAGGAAGGGGATGGGAAGAAAGACAGGCGTGGGGAGGGAAGGAGGGGTTTGGGGGAGGAGACAAGGGCGGGGGGGGGTCAGGAGGGAAATGTGGACAGGGAGGTGTGTGGAAAAGGGTGAAGCGGGGTGCAGGAATAGAAACACGGGGGCGGGAGGAGGGAAAAATTGTAGTGGCGGATGGGAGGAGAGTTCGCGCGGGCGTGGAACAAGTGAGCGGGGGGAGGAACAAAGACGGTGGGAGGAGGGAACCAGAACGATGGGGAGCAGAACAAGGGGTTTGGGAATGCAGCGTGCAAGGCGCTTCATACGGAAGGCGCACGCCGAAGACGGAACCTGAGCAGCTCTACAAACATCCGCTCTTTCATCCAACGCCCTCGGCTGATTCAGACGATTTCAACCCGATCGCTATCTGCAAGGCCTCCCGCCTTGCCCGGCACGCGCCCGTACCACCCACTTCTGCCCCCATGAGGAACCCGCCCACGCCCTCTGGTAAGGCTCGCCTTGCTTCGAGTTCCCGACGATCATCCTCTGCTCGGCGCTAGCTATCTCGTAGCGTTCCGCCTTGAGCGAGACCCTCATCCACTCGTAGAACTCTTTGTCCTGAGGTGACGCCGCTGTTTTTTTGTTCGTTGGCGATTCTTAGGTGGCGCCCGTGTCTACCTGTCTACTTTGAGGGGAGGAGAACTCGACTACGAGGTCTCGACGCATCCCCGGTACCACCGCTGCCTGTGCGCTGAGGGTGCCCCCATGCACATGTGCTCGCGACATCCTATTCGTGGCCAGGACAAGGCGGCGAAAAAATGCCTCGCAACTCAACCCTCAACAAATAACGAGAATCTGCACGAGCCCTCAAAACCCAGCCTCTCTTGAAGAGACTGACCTGACAGCGGCCACGCGTAGGTGAACATGTATTCCTCTTGGCTGTCCAAGTCATCCTACCAACGTTGCTTTTCTCCCTCAACACGTTATACCTTCTCCTACCAGGCGGCTCCGCGGAAATCTGGATTGCAGAGGCCACAGCGAGCACACAGGCTGGCCGTGCCGATGGCTGGCGGTCACAAGACCGATCCCGCCTGCGATGCCGACCTATCACGGCCGAGGCACTTGCCCCTCTCTTCGGCGCGGCTAGGCCAATTACATGCATCGACTGCCCCAGAAGCTGTTACTGCCTCTTGAAGGGGGGCTGAAGGACCAGAGCCGCGAACGTGATCGCGGCGCCACGCGCACGGGACACATGATCAGAAGTCGAGGGGCCTTGTGTAGGCTACATGCACACGCAAAGAATGACCCTGGGAAAGAGTGATCTTTGGTGCGCGGCTTCAGGGCGTAGGCCAGTGCTAGGGGGATGTCATGGGACCCCCTGCGGGCCCGCACCAATAGCCACTTCGGCGAAGGGCCACTCTTATGCGTAGCCGACTTCTGGCCACTGGGCAAATCCCACCTGTCCCCTGGGCGCAGGTGGCACAGAGCGCCTGCTCTTCCAACCCCCTTCTTCCCCTTCGGGGACGGGTGCATCACTCTCCCCTATCAATATACACCCCCTCCCCCACGCGACCGGCAGCCAAATAGGAACAACGTGGAGCCCATGAGGACCCCCCCCTACCATGCTTGTCAAAAAACTATATGTAACACACTCTGCCTCCAAATTCGGAGCATGCGCAACCAACCCGATGCGCCCCCCCCACCATCACCACCGCTGTCAAAAAATACTACATACACTTTGGGGCAAAGTCTGGAGTCATATTCGTGAGGCCCGCGAACACTGTGTACTGCTTTTGGATCGGGACGGCGGGGGTGTCAGCATATTGCCTGATGCGCGCAGGCCTACAATCCCTGACGAATAACAAATCAACATGCACCTCGCGGCTAAATCTGGATCATACGCGGCCACCCCGCGATCACTGCCAAGTGGTTTCTGACAGGGACGGCGGGGGTGGTGGCGTATGGCCTGCTGTACGCAGGTCCACCAGACACAATGATTGGCATGGGTTTTCGACAAGGATGGTGGGGCCGACGAGTTTCCTGATGTGTGCTGTCACGTGCGCAGGCGCACCTGCCACACTCTGCACGTGCCCCGAACGTGGCGCACCTGGCGCGGCTGGAGTATGTGGCACACCTGGCGCATGCGGATGCACGTGGCGCATCTGGCGCACCAAGCGTGCCTGGCACGCTCGTGCCCCAGGGGTGCCTGGCGCGCGTGGCGCGCCTGGCACGCGTGGCACACCTCGCCCCAGCGTCGCGGACACGGGCATGGTTTTGGTTCCCAGTAGCTGTCCATCCAAAGACGACCGCTGAACATGCTGAGGCATGGGATTTACTTATGTGTTGGGAGGGCGGGTGGGAGTAAGCTAGACGGCTTGCTATCTAGGAGGGTGTCTTGATCACTGCTCTTTTACAATATATACCCTCTCCCCCAGGCGACCGGCGTCCAACCAGGAACCATGAGGACACCATGACGACCCGCCCCCCCCACCATCCCTTTCAAAAAACAATACAAACCGCACTCTGCCTGCACATTTGGAGCATGCGTCGCCAACCCGATGCGCCCCCCCACCTCCACCATCCCTGTCAACAAGCTACAAAATACACTTCGGGGCAAAGTCTGGAGTCATGTTTGTGAGGCCCGCGAGCACTTTGTATTTTTGTTGACAAGGACGGCGGGGGTGTCAGCATACTGCCTGCTGCGCGCAAGGCTGCCATCCCTGACAAACAAGAAAACAATACAGCATGCACCTCGCGGCTAAATCGGGACTATGCGCGGCCGTCCCGCGATCACTGGCAAATGGTTTTTGACAGGGACCGCGGGGGTGGTGGCGCGTGGCCTGCTGTGCGCAGGCCCACCAGACACAATGATTGGCATTGGTTTTCGACAAGGATGGTGGGGGCCGACATGTTTCACCTGACGCACTCTGCACGTGCCCCGAACGTGGCGCACCTGGCGCGGCTGGAGTGTGCGGGACACCACCCGGCGCACTCGGAGCACGTGGCGCATCTGGCGCGCCAGGCGTGCCTGGCACGCTCGTGCCCCAGGGGTGCCTGGCGCGCGTGGCGCGCCTGGCACGCGTGGCGCACCTCGCCCCAACGTCGCGGACATGGGCATGGTTTTGGTACCCAGTAGATGTCCATCCAAAGACGACCGCTGAACATGCTGAGGCGTGGGATTTACTTGGGCGGGTGGGTAGCTTGACACTTCCCCCTCCCCCCTCCCCTGGACTTGGACGGGGCGCCCCGCGGGTAGTTAGAGCTTCCGAGATGGCCCAAGACGGCCCCACGAGCGCCTCGGAGAACCCAAGATGACCTCCAAGGCGGCTCAAGATAGCACAAGATGCGCCCCAAGACGGCTCCGAGAGGCCTCCGAGACCCCCAAGGAGGCACCCAAGAAGCACAACCCCCTTCAACAACCGGAGAAACTCAATGATTGCTGTATCGTCGCCTTTTTGCGTTCGATGGTCTTCCGAGGCATCAAGATGGCTCAAAAATGGCCCCAGAGAGCCCCAGGAGAGGCCCAAGGAGGCACCTAAGACGACCCCAAGAGCGCTCAAGAGCGCCACAAGGGCGCCCCAAGAGCGCCCCAAGAGGCGATGTTTGGGGACCCCGAGGGGCAACGCTAATTAAAGCTCCCCTTTTGTTATCGGTATCCTCCAAGATGGCCCCAAGAGCGGCCCTAAAGCTTCCAAAATCGCACCAAGAGGGCCCCAAGAGGCGCCCAGACGGCCCAAAGGGGCCTCCAAGAGTTCTCCAAGAGGTTCCCAAGAGACCCTTAAGAGGCCTCAAGAGGATCCCTGAGGCATTCAAGACACTCAAAGGCGGCCTTGGGCTCGCCAAGATGCCCCCGCCAGACGCCCCTAAGAGGTTTCCAAAAAGCTTCCAAGAGACATTCGAGGAGGAGCCTCCGAGAAGCATTCAAGAGGTTTATGGCTCACATCCGAGAAGCATTCAAGAGGCTTCTGGCTCTTCTGTTCGCCCTTTTCCTCTTCCTCCTCCTCCTCCTCCACCTCCTCCCCCTCCTCGTTCAGTTCCTCCTCCTCCTCCTCCTCATGTGCTTACCCCTCCTCCTCCCTCCTGTCTCCTCCCCTCCCCCCACCTCTTCCTCCTCCCTCTCCTCCTCTTCCTCGCCTGATATACGTTCTCCTCCTCCTTCCTTCCCCTCGCCCTTCTCCTCCTCCTCCTCCTCCTCGTCCTCCTCATCCTCCTCGTTCTCCTCCGCCTCGTCCTCGTCCTCGTCCTCCTCATCCTCCTCCTCCTCCCATTCCTCTCTACATTCCATTTCCTCCTCCTCCTCATCTTCCTCTTTATCAGCTTTCTCTTCCTCCTTCCTCCTCCTCGCCCTCTTCCTCCTCCTCCTCCTCCTCCTCCTCCTCATCTTCCGATCCCTCCTCCTTCGAACGACAACGGCCGCACCCGTTTTTGCTCCTACCTTTCCCTGATCACCTTCAATTACTCGCCTGGGCGTCGTTTCTGGATGGGATACTTGTTGGTTCGCGGGCTCGCGAAGCAAGTCGAAAGCTGGGCAAAGCTAGGGCGGGCCGCACCGAAACAACAGGGCAAAAACAGTGAGCAGAGCAGCGCCCAGCTCAGAAACGGACTGGATGGGATACTTGTTTGATCGCGACCGCAGGCGGGCACGCGCGCGGCGTCCGAAAGTCGTAAGAGGAGCGCAAGCCCTGCTGTCGCAAGCGAGGCGCGGAAAAGGGCCACTGAGGTGGCGAAACCACTGGATGGTTTAGTCAACGGCAACTAAAACGCGCGCCAGCGGCGCCTGTAGCCAACGGCCGCTCGGCTCCGCGTCAACCGCCAGAGCCGAGCCCATCTGTGAGCGCCCATGGCCTGTAACTGACCACCTGCCAGACCACCCCAACCCAACCCGAAGACCCGACTTTGACCCGAATGTCGGGTTTTGGGGGGAGGTGCGGGTTCCATGCTCTTTTTATGCTCCCCGACCCCCCCCCCACTGGAAATGGAGGGCAACTCGAGGCCTTAGGGTTGGGTTGGGGTGCCTTGGTGGGTGGTGAGAAACCGTGCGCCAAGCTGGGCCCGGGAAGCGGCGACGGGGCTCCGCTGCCGGGCTCCGCGGCAACCTCCGTGGCGGCCTCCGCGCTGCCACACGGCCCCCCTTGGCTGGCCGCGGCGCAGCCAGGCCAGCCGCGAAACAGCTGCGGGCCACCAGTGCCACCTTGACAGAGTCAGTCCACGAGCGGCGAACATGCCCTGAGATCCTGGCGACTCAATTTTTTCGAGTCGGGCGTTTTCGCCTTTTTTTCAGTGCCCTGGACCCTCACAGATCGATCCAGCTCTAAAAATGACGCAGAATGATGGGGTCCGGAGGCCCGGTCCTGAATTTTGGCGATGCTGTATTTTTGTTTTTGCAATGTCGGATCTCAGGGAGATCCGCATTCGCACCCTCGCGGTTTGGATTCCAGGGAGCGATTCCGCGGATACGCCGTCGCACGGACACGTTGCGCGCGGGGCATCCGCTAGAAAACTGCCCGTATCTGCGGGGTCGCGGCCCCGGGGCCCGGCCCGCGAAGCCGCGGATACGGATACGTCTCTCGCCCAAGGTCAGGAACGCGCCTGGGCCTAGCCCTCATAGGAGAGGCTCAGTACGGCAGACCCGTGTCGTGACGACTTGCGCGTGGGTCTTCGCCACCGCCTAGGCGATATCGTGGCCTCCTGACAACCGGGATCGTTTCAAACTGGCCTCGTTCAGGCTGCCAGCGACGTTTAATCTTGAGGGCAAGCGTCGGCGTCGCCGTCGCGGCGACACGATACGAACCTGCCCCCGACTGCATCCTGCACGTCGGCTGCGCCCAGTCGCAACTCGGTTCCTCGCTTCGCCGCCACGCCCAGGGACCCAGAGCCAGTGCAGTCCGGACTCTGCCCCGCAGGTGGGACCGACAGCTCTGCCACAGGCCGCCCCGCCTGGCCTCAACACCCCCCCCCAGGGTGGCCTGGGGAGATCGCAACCTCTGAGCCCGCACCGGCCAAAGGCTCGTCGCGGTCGAAGCGCTGAGCGATAGCGAATCGCGCCTGCGCGAGTGGAAGATGCAGAGGGGCGGGAAAAGAGAGAGGGAGGCCCCAAAGGGAGGCCCCAACACCCCGCACCAACTCTGGCGTCGCCCCTACAGGCGCTGCGCGCATCCAGGCTGGGGTGCCAGGGGAACCATGGGCCTCCTAGGAGAAGGCAGGGATGCATGTTCGCAACCTACAGTCAAACATACGATTCAGAAAATTATCAATTAGGAAAGCTGGGCCAGCTTTTCATACATTGGGCCAGTCTTTGGAGCCAGGAACGTACATGATTTATTTCTAGAACCCAAGGCTACAAATCCCTGTAAGAAACTGAGTCAGCTTTCCCGCAAGTTTGTTAGGAAACGCTAGGCCAGCTTGTCGCGGGGAGATTTCTTAATCATAAGCGGGACCGTAGCCTCGCAAGAACCCCCCCACTCCAGCCAACCCCACCACCCTCTCTCTCAGCCCGGCCTCGTCGCAGGTGTAGTTGACCTTCTTGAACGCTGCGAGAAGCGCAGCCCACTGTGGGCACCCGAGCTCCTTGCTCCTCGCGCGGCGGAGGAAGGTGAGGAGGAAGAGGGAGGACGCAGAGGGGGACACGAGGTGCTGGAGGAACCTCATCCTACTGCTGCTACCCATCCTCCCCCTCCTCTTTTTCTACATCATCATCGTCGTCGTCATCATCATCATCCTCATCCTCATCCTCATCCTCATCCTCATCCTCATCCTTCTCATCATAATCATCATCAACAACATCCTCATCATTCTCATTAGCATCATCATTCTCATTACCATCACCATCCCGCTTCCGCGTGTACGGAAGGAAACGCTAGTGGACTGCCCGAGACTTTGGCACGATGGCTCGCGGCGCAAGACTCCCCGGACGTCCCAAAAGGGGATCAAGCATGAATCCGAAACTCGCCGCTTGTAGGCTCCTCCTCGACGCCTCGGAGTTGCGGACTGTTTTGTCGAACGACTGAAGCCCCCGCCCCCGCCCCCCCTCGTCCCAACAGCGGAGCATCGCCGGGGGGGAGTGGGGACAGGAACTAGGAGGCGGCACCGCAGCCAACAGGGCAGAGGGAGACCACGACGGGGACGACAAGGTAGGACACAACAGCAGGAGGAGAAGAGGCCAAGGATGCGAAGATGAGGAGGAGAGCAGCAGACACGACGAGGGGCTGGCGAGAGGACGGAGAAGTCCCAGCACACAAGTGACTCCCCCAAGCGCAACCCCCCCCGTAGTGGCGGGCACACTCTTGACGGGGTACCCACCTGGTCAGGATCCAAAATGGCGGCACGTGTCGTGGTGGTGGGGGGGGGGCGCTGGAGCTGGTCACCGGAAAGCTGGGGCGTGCATCGCCGCGTCGTATACCGTTCGCTTGCCTCGGGCGGCGGTCGGCTGCGCGCCGCACTGCTCCCCTGACCCTCCCCAGCTGCAGAGCGTCGCTTGGGGGTGGGGGCGGGGGCAGTGCAAAGATGGAAAGGGTCGGGATGCCCGGCAAAGGCCGTCATTCAACGGCGCGGGCCCGGGCCTCAGCAACGGTGCGACCGTGAGAGCAGGCAGAAGAACCGTGTTTCGCATCCCTACCTCCTCCCCGAGTCGCCCGTCCCACGGGCGGCGCGCTGGCTGACGCGCTGGCCCAGGGATGACTGGGGTGAGGAGCTCGGGAGAAAACCAAGGTATGATGCGCTGCGTAAGAGAAAAGGGGAAAGGGGGGGAGGGGACGCGCGCTGCGGCGGCGCGGCCAGCGCTCCGCGGCGGAGAAGCCCCCCGGGCTTGGAGACGACGTCGCGGAAACTGCCTGGCACCGTCGGCATCGTCCCTGGAACGGCGCAACGCCGCCTGGTGCAGGAGATGGCGAGCTCGTGTCCAGAACAGCTCACCCGGAAGACACTGCTCGGGTTGGAAGGATCGGGTTGGGAGGATGCGGGGCGCGACTGTGCAAGAAGCGTACCGTGCATACGCGATGATACGGATGGTGGGAGCATCCTTCCCAGCCTCATCCTCCCTGCGCGGTAATTGTCTTTCTGAGTCCTGAGCGTCGCCGGCGCCAGGAATGCACAGGGCGCCGGCGCTCTCGTCTCGGCGCGCGCCGTCGGGGCCCTCGTCGCTGCGCGCGCCTCGGCGCGCGGCGCCGCCGGCTCCAGCGCCGCCTCCCTGCGCCGCCCTCGCGGCCGCCATCCTGCGCGCGCGCCGGACGGCCCTGCCTCCGCCAGCTGCGCCCGCGCCAGGGGCATTCGGCAGCGGCTCCGCGTCGTGGCCGCGGCAGCCCCGTCGCTGCTTGTCCAGCTCCGTGCCGGGCGCGGTGGGACTGTGTGCCTGCTGCCCCTGCCAGCGCCGTGCTCGCTGCCCTGACCGTCGCGCACCGCGCGGCGCGCCTCGGCCGCCCCTGCGGCCAGGTCATCGTAGCCCTGCCGCTTCCCCAGCTCAGCGTGAAGTCCAGCGGGGCAGCAACCCGCTGCCCCCGCCCGCGCCGTGCTCGCTCTCCCGGCCGTCGAGCTCCGCGCGGTGCGCCTCGGCCGCCTCCGCGACGCCTGGTCGCCGAAGCGCTCCTCCGCCCCGTGCTCCGAGTCGTGGCCACGGCCCTCGTAGCGCTGCCGCTTGCCCAGCGTCGCGCGCAGCCCGGCGGGCCTGCAACTGCTGCCCCGGCCAGCGCCGTGCTCGGAGCCCTCGCCTTCGCGCTCCGCGTGGGTGCGTCGCGGCCGTCTCCGCGGCCTGCGGCCCGGCTGCTTGCCCGGCTTCGCGTGGAGTCCGGCGGCCAGCACGGTCGTCTACGAGGTGCTCGTGTAGCTGCCGGACATGCCGAAGTCGGTGCCCAGGCGAAGCACGAAGGGCTGGGCCTTCGGGTGGAGCCGAGACCTCGTTCCGCGAAACTCCGCAATTTCACTCTCGAGACACTGGTTTGCCGAGACCGTCGTGATATGACGTGTGAGGTGACATGCATAACCGAGGCGGATGAGTTTGGCAGCAAGCTTATTGTCGATGAGCTGCTGGTTCCTCAGCATGCGCACAGCTTGAGAGAGACCCTGGTGACTCCGAGTCCCGCCACCATCTCACGCAGGAGGCCCCCGTGGAGGTCACTCAACGTGGTGTGGGGCGCAACCTGGATAGGATGAGAGGACAGATGATGCGGATATCGTTCCGCGGTTAGGACAGGATGAGAAGCAATGAGCACTGGTGCGCGAAAGAATAAGAAGCCTGAACAGGCGGTGCCCGTGCCTGGCACGCCGGGGTTGCAACCACCTCCAACGAACATTGGGCTAACAATGGCAACGGAATAAGCTCATCCTCCTCCTTGTCCTCCTCGTATTCTCCTCTGCTGCTCATACGTCTCGTCCTCCTTATCTCCGCCATCATAACACTATGGATCATCCCCATCATCATCATGATCATCATGATCATCATCATCATCATCATCATCATCAGCATCATCATCATCATCATCATCATCACCATCACCATCACCATCACCATCACCATCACCACCATCATCATCATCAGCATCATCATCATTATCATCGCCGTCGGCATCATCACCATCAGTATCATATCATCATCATCATCACCATCATCATCATCATCATCATCATCATCATCATCATCACCAGCATCATCATCATCATCATCATCATCATCAGCATCATCATCATCATCATCATCATCATCATCATCATTATGGTCACCATCAGCGGCAGCAGCGTCGCCCTAATCACCACCATCACCAGTATCACCGACCTCAGGATCATCACCGCCACCACCGTCATCACATCACATCAGACCTTCGCTCCATGATCACAAGATCGCCATACTCATCATCATCATCATCATCATCGTCATCATCATCATCATCATCATCATCATCACCATCGCCGTCGTCCGTCTCGGCTGGAGAATACTGCAGTTCAACATGCGAACCAATCAAGCTGCTGCCTCCGTTGTGCCATACTCGCTCACAGGCACGCGTCCTGCGCACGCGCTGCATCCGTCGTGCCCAGGCCGATGACGCGCGAGGCGCAACGACAGCTCGGACGACCGAGCGCCCAGAGGAGAAAAGCATCATGATTCGCCATCGCCTCCCCCTCCTTATCCAACTCCTCCTCCTCCTCCTCCTCCTCCTCCTTTCCCACCCCCTCGAGTCCCACCCTAGAGTGCCACGGCGAGCTCTAGCTGGGTCGCCGTGGGGTCGCGCACGGTCACCCCCCCGGGAACCTGGCGCCCCCCCTACGGAAAGGCGGCCACGCTTGAGGCCACCGCACCCTCGTTTGGAGGACCAATCCAGTCCAATCCTCCTCCTCTTCCTCCTTCTCTCCTTCCACCACCACCACCACCCTCTCCTCCTCCTCCTCCTCTTCCTCCTCCTCCTCCTTCTCCTCCTCCTCCTCCTCCTCTTCATCTCCCCCTTCTTTCCCCCTCCTTCCTGCTGCTGAGGTGGGGCGGACACACGCCGAGTCTCCAGGCGCGCATCAAAACGCTTTGCGCCCGCGCGAGCACCGCAGTCAAGCCCCCCGTGCACTCCGCCGAGCACCCACAGGGACCCCTCGACGAGTGCGCCGCCCAAGCCTTCCCTGGCGGGCTCCGCGGCCCAACGAGGGGCGGCCCGTTCTGGGCAGGTCCCTCAATGCCCCGCTCCCAGAGCCGGCGCGGCGTGGCGCTGCACCGGCAAGGCTGCACTGCCCCGGGAGGGCCCCTTCGCTGGGCCCCTGGCAGCGTAGACAGCCCAAGAGGCCTCGAAGACTGCTCCAAGAGGAGCCCACGAGAAGGAGTCCCCCTCAAGATGACCCCCCAGGCCGCCAACAGGCCCCCTTAAGAGACCCCCAAGGGCCCCCCAAGAGGCACCGAACAGGTGCAAAGGAGGGCCCGAAGATGCCCCCCAAGAGGCCAAAGACGCTTCGCCTTCGCTTGACCGCCGCTGTCGCGCACCCCATTCGAAGGCCTTCGGCGCAGCAGGCGCCTCCGTTGGCTTCAGCCTGCCGCAGCTGGCTGCAGGGTGGCGTGGGCTCGTTAGCTCAGAGGCTCACTGCGAGCCGGCTTGATAGAGTGGCGGCCTCACGGATGGTTCGTGAAAAGGGCCTCTACGCCCAGCAGAGCATGACCAGATGCCTCAGAACAGGAGCTGAGTGGCACACACACACAGATTTGCCACTGCGCTTGAAGCTCGTTTGCCTGTGCCAAGCCTATTTGAATGCCGCGAGGGTTCAAAGCCCGCCCTCGAGACGGCCCCACGGTCATCCATGATTTCTGCAGGACCCTCCAAATGGGCCCCAATCTAGATGAGGAAAAAACTGACCAAACATAAACTTGGATCGGCGCTGGGCTCCCTGGCTGCACCTCCGTCGCCGCCTCTCACGCGGTCCAGCGCCGATCTAAGAATCCGCGCAGAGCTCTAAGTATATGTTTTATGCCGTCCTTCATCGACAATAGCCGTCCCTCCACAGACGACCAAAGAGTTCCCGCAGAGGCTTCCAAGAGCGCCTCAAGAGGGCCCGAAACGCCCCTGAAGAGGCACGGGGACACCCATGCAACCGCCGCAAATCCGTGCCAAGCTACATAGCGCAGCTGCGTTGCTTCCCAAAGCACAGAGACGGGCATGCGCGGCAGCGCAACTGGAGCAACAGTCGACCCGCCGCGCAGTCGGGGAGCGCGAACACTCCGCGAAGGCCCAACGACAGACCCAAATGCACTGCGGGGAGCCGCGACGCGATTCGACTATGACGTTTTCAGCCGCCAGGCGTACCCCCGCCGGGCGCCGGCAGGGTCACTGCGCGCGACCAAGCCTGAGCTGACAGTGCGGAAGAGAACCGCCGAGCCCATCCCAGCTGGGCCCGTGCAGACTCGGCCAGCCCGTGCAAGCTGCAGCCTGTAATGCGGAGAGCATTACCTGCGGCCCATCCCCAGTGGGGCGCGTGAGCGCGCGCGCCGAACGCCCGCAGACTGCAGAGCTCCGCCGCGGGGGGCCGCCCACGCGGCCCCCTGCGACAGAGCGGCGGCGGCTGGCGGCGAGGGCGAGTCACATGCCGCCGGCCCTGGCCCGCTTCGCGACGGGCACGTCGGCAAGGTGCGAGGCCTTCATCTTGATGGCGCTGAACTTGTCGGTCCACTCCTTGTAGGCGGCCTCTGCGGCCTGTCCGCCGAGCCACATGGCGTGCTCCGCCGCAGTCAGCGTGCGCGGGAAGATGGATGCTCCCGGATTGAGCGGATGGGTCTGCATGCGCGCGACGCCCAGGTTGCCTAGCATCTTCACGATCTCGCGCCACCGTCGCAACTGGCCCTCCAGTAGGTCGTCCGCGAGCGCCTGGTCCTCGAGCAAGTAGGCGACCCTCATGCCGATCTCGAAGTAGTAGGAGCTCTTGTCGCAGAGGCGGCAAACGATAGGGTCGCGCTGGAGCATCTCCTGCTGGCAGCTGCCGTAGATGTCGGGGAGTTGGAGCTCGACCATGTGGCGCCTCGCCAGGCTCTGCGCTAGCCAGAAAGGCACCTGGGCGACGACGAAAAAAAGAGGCCTGCCGCACGAGGACACGGCGACCCTACGCGGCGACTCACGCAGGCCGCCCTCGCGGAGGCGCCGCGGCGAGAAGACTGCGCCTGCGCGCGACCTTACGCGTGTAGCCTACGCGCCAGTGTCCCTGCAGTTGGCCGCCTTTTTACGCGTCGCTCACCTGAACCTTGTCCGCGGCCTTCAGGTCTCGGTTCAGGCGGCCCTCGCCCGAGGCATACAGCAGGCCCCCGCCTTTCACGTCGTGGCTGGCGACCACGGCCACCTCCTGCTGCTCCGCGAGCGCCTCCTCGAGGTCCCAGTAGTCGAACGTGCCCATCGCTGGCCGAGCCCTCGGGCTGGTGGTCGGGCCGCCCCGGGTGAGTCAGGCAAAGGGCTCCTGAGCCCAACCACTGCAGATAAGGGTGATATTCGGATACCACGGGGCGGTGAGGAGAAGGGTGGAGCTGGAGAGGCAGGACGAGGAGAAGGGGGAGGAAGAGAGGCAGGAGACGGAGAAGAAACAGCATAAGGGTGGGATCAGAGGCGGGTGCTGAGAAAGGGAGGAGCAGAATAAGAGTGTGCCGAGAAAGGGTGGGAGCAGAGTAAGGAGGACGATGACAGGGAGGAGAATAATACTACGGAGATGGCAAGGGAGGAATATTGGTGGAAGGAGGATAAGGGTTATAGATTACCAGGACAAGCAGGAGAAGGATGCCTACCGAGGAGCGGGGCTATGACGACGAGGTCCGCAAGTTGTGTGGTTCGTTCTCTAGTCAATAGGGCTCCTCGCTTTCGGTGCCTTATCGCCCCGATGGTCTGCGGTGTCTCGGCTGTCTCGCAATGGCGTCGCCGCTGTCGCGGTTGATGTTCTGCTCATACTCCCTCACATCCTCTCTCCTCCTGCTGACTTCTCCGTCTGTACCGCCCCATCCGTCCTCCCTCTCTCCCTCCTCTCCGCCCTCCTCCCTCCCCTTCCTCTCCTCCCTCGCTTGCCCGCGCATCCGTGCTCCGCCGAGGTGTGTGTCGCCTCTGCCTGCCCGTGGCATCTCGCTATTCTCTCTCTCTCTCCCTCCCTCTCCCTCTCGCTCCGCCTGGCATGCTCGTAGCCTCCTGCTTCCATCACCTCGGCGGCGAGCGAGGGGGGGGGGGAAATGAGACGGATAAGGCCTTCTCAGAAGGCTGCGGGACTTCTCAGAAGGGTGGGGGCCTTCTGAGAGGTGTTTTGTGTCTTCGGAGAAAAAGTAGAAACAACTCCTCAGAAGGCGGCGGGACTTCCGAGCCTTCTGAGAAGGCCCGCCCCTTCTCACTTCCCCCCCTCGCTCGCAGCCGATCGCTGGCCGTACACACCGCATTCAGGCCCTTGTGCGATGCCTGGCCTGTCTCTCCGCAGCCTTCTCCGCGGCCTCCCCCCCGCGGGCGACCAGAGCGCTGCATCGCCTCGGAACACAGGCGAAAGTCGCGCGCCCGTTTCTTCACGGACTCGTCGCTCGATGTCAGCCTCCTCTGAAAACCACGTTGCCCAATGGGCGATCGACACTCGGCGGCGAGCGAAGGGGGGGAAATGAGAAGGCGGCGGGACTTCTCAGAAGGCCTCGAGCCTTCTGAAAGTCTTTTTGCATCTTCGGGGGAGGCCTTGAAAACTTCTCAGAAGACTGGGGGACTTCCGAGCCTTCTGAGAAGGCCCGCCCCTTCTCACTCCCCCCCCGAGGTCGCCCCCGAGACACTTTGCCAATGCCCCTGCTCACGCGAGAAAGCCACAGCGCCGCCATGGTCACGAAACCGGGCCTCTGGGAGCCAGGCTACCTGGCCGTGTCCCGCCCCGCGTGGCGTCCGCTGCTGGCGGCAGCAGTGAGGATATGGATACTCTGCATGGGGCAGAGTAATCGCCCCCCCCTTGGATCCGCTGGGGTGGAGGGGGGGGGGAGGAATAGGAGAAGGAAGAGGGGGAGGGGGAGGAGGAGGAGGAGGAGGAGGAGGAGGAGGAGGAGGAGGAGGAGGAGGAGGAGGAGGAGAGGAGGAGGAGGAGGAGGAGGAGGAGGAGGAGGAGGAGGAGGAGGAGGAGGAGGAGAAGGAGGAGGAGAAGGAGGAGGAGAAGGAGGAGGAGGAGGAGGGAGGGGGGGGGATGGGCAAGCTCCGTCGGAAGGTTGGTCGCCCACCCCTCGATTCATACCCCCACCCAGGGTAGGGTGGATGTCGCCGAATCCGCGCGATGTCGAAACGGACCTACACGCCCTGCCCAGGGGGGGACAGCGGCCCGCGCATCGCCGAGCCCGAGGCACGCGACCCTCCGAGGCGACGGCGGTTTTGTCGCGGAGAGGCCGGCCTTGGGCTCGGCGCCGTGCTCTGACGCTTCCCGCCCTCGCTGGGAGGACAGCACAACCCCCCCCCCACCCCCAGCCAGGACCCGCCCCCCTCCCCACCCGGTGATCCAGGGGGTCCACGAGGCCCTGGCTGGGGGTGGGGGGGGCTTTCCCGTTCTCCGGGGCCAGCGAACCCCCCCGCCAGCCAGGAGCCCCTGGATCACCAGGTCGGGACGGGGGGGGGTACTGGCTGGGGGGGGGAGGTGGGCTGTGCTGTCGGCGGCGAGCCCATGGGAGAAGCGCGAGGCCTTCCGAGGAGACCCGCCGCCTTCCGAGAAAAAGCCTTCCCCTTTTCACTTCGCCGCCTCTCGCTCGCCGCCGAGGCGGGGAGGGGGGGGCGGTGCTGTCCTCGCCGCCGGGGCCCGCCCCTCTTCCCTGGGGCTCCTTCCCTCCTCTCCGCCCTCCTCCCCTCTCGTGCTTTCTTCCCCGTCCCGTCCCCTCTCCTGCTCTGCCTCCTCCCTCCCATCCTCGCTGCCCCTCTCCTTCCTCCTGCTTTGCCTCCCCCGTCCTCCTCCCCACTCCGGGCTCCCTCCCCCAACGACCCCCACTCTAGAACCTCCTAGAACCCCCCAGAACCTGTTCTAAAACCCCACGGGAATCCCCAAGAACCCACTCCACGCCCCAGGAGACCTCGCGACCCCTCCACCTCCCTTCTCGTCTTCCCTCCTCCCTCCTCCTCGCTTCCTCCTTCCTCCTTCCCCTCCCCATTTTCTAGGGAGCGCGCGGTGGCGGCGGCCGCCCGCCTCTTGTTGGCGAGCTCCCGCACGATGCCGTCGAAGATGACCTGGTCGAAGCAATTCAGGTCGGACAGCGAGCACAGGGTTGTGAGCAGCTCGTCCTCCCCACGAATGCTCGAAAAGGGGATCGACTGCATAATTGATTTGCCCCAGGATTCGCTTTCTCCGCATCGTCAACGAAGCATACGTAGAACATGTAGTAGATCTGCTGAACGTTCTACGCTCTATTCGTAGGATTGACGGGCGAACCAAGTTTGGGGTACATCTATTCGCAGCCGATCACCTGTTCGACGAGTGGCAGCGTGGACCGACGAAAACAGCACACGGTGAGCAAGAGTAGTCCAGCGCCGACCCAAGGAAGCTGCGGGCGCGGACCTCCCCAAGGCGTCGGGCACGCGCCCGCATGACCCCCATGCGAGAGGAACGACCTCTGGCCGCGCGGCCTGCGGAATTTTTGCCGTGCGACCGCACCCGTCTGCGTGCCCGGGTCTGGCTCTCCCCCCGTGCCAGCCCCAAAGGCCACGCACTCGAGATCACTCCGGCGAAGGGTCAGCCCTTTGTGGGCCCCGGAAACGGCAGGGCCGTTTTTTCACCGCTTCCAGAAAAATGTCCCTTGAACATGGAAAAGGCACCAAAAAAAACGGCGACCGGAAATGGCAAAAAAATGGCTCCAGGATTGGAGCTGGAGCCAGAACCGGTCAAAAAACGGCGACGGAACCAGTAAAACAACGTCGTCGGAACCGGCAACAAAAACGGCAAAACAGAATCGGTAATAAAAACGGCCCTGGCGTTTCCAGGGCCCACTAAGGCGTGGAGGAGCCAACAGAAGAAGGGAGTGGTTGCGTTCCACCAGGGGCACCCAAGTGGCAACAGCCATAAAAGGATCGCCCGTGTTCGCTGGACCTGTGGGTTTGGATGCCGTGGCCACAGGCAGCCGTCACGGACGTGTCACCGTGGATCGCAAGCCCAGAGCAGAGCACGAGAGCAAGGACAATGGCGCTGTGCGAACATCCCCTGCTAAACGGCCAGCAGGCCAGCAGGAGGACGGAATCGTCGCCGAAAAGGGGCGCCGCCCCCACAAACTAGCGCTGCCCCGCCATGGGGGCTGAGGTTGCACCCGCGCTGCGCCACACAGCACGAGCACGCTCTGAGGGGGGGCGAGGAGGCAGGGGGGGAGGCGGCAGAAGAGAGGGGCAAACTGCGTGCACGTGCCGCGCATCCTCGGGCAAAACGGTGCTGACTGCAGCGCCCTGTGGCGATACGGACGGTCGCCGCCAGGCGGGCCAGGACAGCCCGGTGGCCCCCCAAAGCACGCCCCAGACATACTGAAGCGTGAAGTGGCGCGCTGGTTACTTCGTCGACGGATGGTGCTCCAGTCAGGTCGGGCGTGTCCTCCCAGAGGTGTATCTTGGATGAACAAACAGACAATGGTCAAACAATGCTCAAAATAGTCAAAAGTAGAATCAAAGCATCGTCCCCAGACTCTCCCCATCGCTCGGACGTCCATTCCCTGTGTTTTTTTTCGGTTTCGTGCGTAGTTTTTTCGCCAAATGATCAAGGATGCTCCTCGATGGTCCTCGCCGAAGGAACAAATGCACACGTCTGAGCGATGCCAAGGACTGTGTGTTGACTATTTTTGCAGATTCCTCCTGTAGCGGGACGCGCCCGACTTGGTGCTGCGCATCGTCTCCGAGCTGCGCAGGCCACCGGAACAGGAGGAGGAGGAGGAGGAGGAGGAGGAGGAGGAGGAGGAGGAGGAGGGGAGGAGGGGGAGGGGGAGGTGGGGGAGGGGGAGGGGGAGGAGGGGAGAGGGGGGAGGAGGAGGAGGAGGAGGAGGAGAGGAGGAGGAGGAGGAGAAGGAGGAGGAGGAGGAGGAACAGGAGGAGGAACAGGAGGAGGAGGAGGAGGAGGAGGAGGAGGAGGAGGAACAGGAGGAGGAGGAGGAGGAGCGTGCAATAGCTCTAGAACTCCGGGCAGAGCGGCGGAGGACCGCCCCGGAGCGCCGCCGCTCCAGAGCAGGGCGCAGCACGGGGGCAGTGCCAGCCTGACCACCCTCGTGCCAGAGCAGCGCCACGCTCAGGGGCAGTAACGTAATGCGGGATGACGATTAATGAAGAAAAGGTAGATAACGATTAAAACAAATAGTTTTTCTGCTAGTTCTCCATGATTTTCTGACTGGAGGAGAACGATAAAAAAATAGTTTTCCAGCCCGCTGCCGGTTTTGTCTAATCGTCATCCCGGGCGCCGCCGCGTGAACACGACCTCCGGTCATTTATTAATCGTCATCTTCCATTACTGATCACCACCGCTCTGGGACAGGCGCCGCGCAGGGGCAGTGCCACACCGATCACCGCCATCGCCCTGAAGTCGCGGATGGGACAGTACATCGAGAATTGGAAGGGGCGGCGATCCAGCACGAGGCCTCTGCCCGGTGGCAATAAGAGTGATCACCACCATTCGAGAGCAAGGCCCTGCTCAAAGGCAGAAGCAACATATCATCATCGCGCCACAGCTGAGACCGCAAACTTAGCACCACCTGTCCAGAATAAGGCCCTGCACAGGGTCAGCAAAACAGATCACCACCATTCCAAGAACAATTTCCTGCTCAGGGGCAATAGACATGATCACCACCGTTCCAAAACAAGGCCCTGCTGGCTCAGGGGCAGTAGTATAGAAAGGCACCTTCAAGCCACACATCGTGAACAAGCATCAAGACCGTACACACATCTCGTGCACCGCGGGAAGTGATTAAGAACATACACCAACAAACGACACACAGCATCATAATTCAACGCCAAGAACAAACAATGTACATCAATGTCTAGCACTCATGTCACACAACCAAACACGACAACAAGAACAGTAGCAAAGAACATGTAACAATAACCCCTTCCAACAACATTCGATTACCATACACCAAGCACATACACTGGCTGCGTTCGCCAACATCAGACGCCAAGAACAAGCATACATAACAAAGACCAGGACAGGACACCAAGAACAGTCATCAAGAACATACACACGCTACACATCGAGACCACTCAACAACAGCACAAGTCAATCACGGGCATCAAACACAGCCGAGATACCCACCAACAGCGCAGATCAACAACAGAGCACAGCACATGCCAAGAAGCTAGAAACCTGCGTGGCCGGATCCACATGTGGGATCTCGGGGGGCCACCGCCGTGCCTGGCCGCGCCGGGCCCGAGCGCTGGAAGGACATATGGCCAAGTGTGTGTCAACTCTTGCCCAGGCCAGCCCCGTCACGTGTATCCAGCTTCCTGGCATTCATCATGAGCAGACGCTCAGAACAAACATCAATATACATACACATATCTATATATATATATACACATCTATACCGAAAGCACCCATCAAGAAGCACACATCATGAACAGTGATACAGAGCAGACGCTCACAACCGAAATCGAGGCCAGTTATCAAGAACAGACATCATGAACACACATCAATCGCATACACTAGATATATACAGCATACACCAAGCACATGCATCTTGACATGCCGAAGCTCAGTCGTGGGGATCGCTCGACACAATTGTTTCACTGACGGTGTTTTCTGCCTTTCGGCATCTGGGGGGCTAGAGTCAATGCTTCAGCTCCTCCGGAAGGGCAGCATGGAACTCGTCACTCGGCCTCCTCTTCCCCGTCCTCCTCCTCCTGCTGCTGGCACTGCCTCCTGCTTCCTGGGCGGCGCCTCCCTTCTGCCAATGGCCTCCGCTCTGGGCAGGAGGGACTCGGCATCCTCATTCAAACCGTTGGCCTAGCGAGTGCGCGCGCACAACGGGCAGAGGACGTGTCGGCGGCCCTCTCCCTCCAAGATCGGTTAGCATCGAATCAGGAAATCTGATCGGATCGGATCTGCATACGGAAGATGAGCTGCGCCAGGATGCGCAACAACGCCGTGCACACATCGGGCCGCGTCGGATCGTCAACGAATCGGAGTCGAATCCCACGGGGCCGGCCAGAAACGAAATCCACTCTCATCGGTCGGAGCGAAATTGGCCCTGCCTTCTGTCTTCCCATCTCGGGGGAGCGCAAGCATGGATTAGCGATCCATGGATTTGGCGCGCGGTCGCCAAATCCATGGATCGGGGGCGGTGCCCTCCCCAAAATGTGGCCCGTGCCGCCTCGTTCGGCGGCGGAAATCCGCGACTTCCCATGGAAACGGGACCCGTCGCTAATCCATGCCCCTTTAATCCATGTTTGCGATCGCCTGACCATCCGTCACCAGCAGAGGGCAAAACATCCCCTGCCCCACTGTTGTGAACGGCACTCTTTTCTTGTTTCTCAGGTGCGACCGGATGTGCGGCATCAGCAGGTCTTGCAGGAAAGTCCTGCCCATCCACCGCTCGACGCACCCGCGCAGGCACGACGCTCCCAGCCCCACCACGAACTGACCACTTGCAGTCTTCACATAACTGGGCACTCGTGGCACGCTCTCAAAATCTGAGTTGTCCGGCGCCGCCGGGCTGTTGCGGCACTCCTCATCGAAATCTAAGGCAAGTGCTTCTCGGATACCTGTGCTTGACACCCCTTTCCCCGAACAACCATAGCGTCACACTATCGATCTGTAAATCCAAGGCTGCGCGGATCCGACACTCTTTGGGTCCCTGGTGGTGTTAGCTAACAAGCAGTGCTTTACTCCAGGGAGCGAATTGGATCCACGAGGCTTCCACGCCAAAGCAGATGGAATCCAGATGAAAGGAAAGTTGGAGCCACGCGACTCTCTCACACACGTAATGAGACCCGTGGGTTCCATGCTTTCCGATGCAAGCGGAAGGGACACTTTCGGCTTGAGGATGCGTGATTTGTTCCATGGACGCTGCCTCTGGTCTTTGACCAGGCGGCGCGGCTCGTCGACGCCGAACCGGGTGCGCTCCCAACGGGTTCTGCGTCGTCCAGAATCGCGCGCGCTCCCAGTGCGATTCTGCGTCATCCAGAATTGCGCGCTCTCCCAAATGGGCTTTGCGTCAGCACTAGCCGAAATCTAGCGCAAGTTATACTCCCTGTGACGCGGCCAGTGCGCGTTTTAAGCTCCTTCCCCCGTATAATCTGATCTTCAAATCCAACGACGCGTGGACCCAACACCTGTCGGGTCCCCAGTGTTAACTAACCTGATGTAGTAACCAACCTGGCTGTCCCCCCTGTCCCTTTCCCCTCCCCTTGGAGCCCAAAATCCACTTAAAGAGGGGGGGGCACGAGATCTCCGGCGCAGCCCCGGAGCCCCTGGAGACTCCACATCCACACAAGAAGGCCTCCACAATGCCCAGGATGATCTTTAGGCTTGCTCGCGTAGGGCTCCAACACGAAAAAGGAGGCATCAAAAACAGCCAAGGTAGCCCAAGGTCGGCCCAAGATGCCTTCAAGACGACCCCCAGCGAGCCCCAAGAGGACCTCCAACAGGACCCCAAGAGACCCAAATCGCCGCAGTTCCGAAGGAAAGCGTGCATTGTTCACATATTCATTTCTTTGGTTTCAACAGCGTCCACAGCGGCTGAAAGGGCCCCCAAGATCGCTCCAGGACGGACCAAGAGGCCCCTAAGAGGGCCCCACGACGGCTCAAGAAGGCCCCACGACGGCCCAAGAGGTGCCCAAGAAGGCCCAAGGTGGCCTCAAAACAGCCTCAAGGGGGGTCCAACAGGGCGACCTCGAGCTGACATTCCAAGCCCTCCGCCCCAGGAGGATCCCCGAGACGGCCAGCGGGCGCCAGGCAAGACCCCGAAGAGTCTGGACGGGGCCTGAGTTTATGGATTATTGTGCATGTTAACCCACAATTTACAACTGTATATCGTCGCCGATACTGTGAACATAGTTTGATTGATACGTTGTGGTCTTGTTGTGTCATTTGAACGTTGATCATGTTAGCCCAAGAGGCCCCAAAAAGATGCCCCAATGGGCCCCCGAGGCGGTGCCCAAAGAGGGTCAACGCGCCCCCACCCGTGGACGTCGTTTCTCCGCTGGGAGCCGGCGGAATGGCGCAGGGCACTCGAACGGATTCCAGAGGTCGAGATGGATCCACTGGAGGAGGGGGAGGAGGAGGAGGAGGAGGAGGAGGAGGAGGAGGAGGAGGAGGAGGAGGAGGAGGAGGAGGATGAGGGGGAGGAGGAGGAGGAGGAGAAGGAGGGGGGAGGAGGAGGAGGAGGAGGAGGAGGTCAACAAAAACAGGGCGGACGAACGACGCAATGGATCCACGCACACACGTCATGGGTCCCGTTTGGATCCATGCCTTTCAGACGGACGGAAACATCTGTTCTGCCAGAGGATGCACGACCTTGCCATGGGCACTTTGCCATGGGCACTTCCCGCGGCTTGGGGTGCAAAGAAGGCCTAGTGGGATTCATCGCTCTGTCTTTCCACCTCCTTCCTTTATCGGTGTTCTTCGTCGCCTTGCTTCATCCTTGTGGTCCTTTTCCCATGGTCCTTCGTCTCCTCCTCATCCTCGTCCTTCGCTCCTCCTCCTCTTCCCTCGTCAACACCTTCGCCTCCTCCGTCGCTCCCTCATTCTAGAGAAGTGTAAGGACTTCGGGAACGCCCTCAAGGACAACAAGTAATTCAAGGAATCCAGAGTTGGCAGAAACTTCGGGAACACCTTCAGGAAAACCAGCAAACGATCCCAACATCAACCCCAACGTCCGATGGGCTACCCCGCAATGAGGCGGAATCCATACGGGTGGCAGATGTTTAGGAACGCCCTCAGGAACATAAAGAACTCAACACATCGAACGCGCTGGTGGCAGAAACGTTGGGCACACCTTCAGGAAAACCAGACTACCAGCGACAACCCGAACGTCTGAAGGGCGACCCCGCATTCTCTATGGAATCTGTCGCTTGTTGTTTTCCTGAGGATCTTTGCAAGGAGGTTCTGCCGCCAGCGTGTTGGACCAAATGATTGCTTGTGCTGTTCCTTGTGATGCGTTGTCTTCCAACGCCCTCCTTCTCCTCCTCCTCCTCCTCCTCCTCCTCCTCCTCCTCCTCCTCCTCCTCCTCCCCGTCCTCCTCCTCACTCCTCCGGTTTCCTCCTCCTCGTTATCTTCCTGATCCTCCTCTCACTGCTCTCACTCCTCGTGAGGAGGAGGAAGAGGGAAGTGATGATGATGAAGAGGATGCCCAGGTGGAGGAGGAATTGGGAGCGGGGGAGGAGGAAGAACATGGCGCTAGACAACAAACAAATGGAAACACATGCCAAGCACGCCAAAGACATTGAAGTACTGGCGGCAGAAACGTTGGGGACACCACAGGGGGGCACATCAATGCAACAATAAAAACATGTCCCTCAGGAAACCGTCCGAATGTAAACGTCCGAAGGCCCCCCCGCATTCTCTGTGGAAGCTGCTGCTTGTGTTGGTGAACAATGGCTTTCCTAAAGTTGCTGCCGCTTGCACTTGAGGTCATTTGTGTTTGCTGGTTTCAAATCTGCTTGGCGTTACAGCGCCATCCTCCTCCTCCTCCCCCCCCTCACTTCTCCTCCACCTCCTCCTCCTCCAATTCCGTCTCCAACTCCACCTCCTCATTCTCCTCCTCCTCCACTCCCTCCTTTAACTCCTCGTGAGAAAATGAAAGTGGTGATGCTGATGCTGAAGAGGAAGACCAGGATGAGGAGGAGGAGGAACTCTTTGTGTGAGGCCTTCCATACGAGTCCCTCTGCATCGATTCCCAAAAGAATGCAGTCCTGAGGCTTTCCCACAGAGTGACATGTGGAGTGTGCTCCACAGGGTTCCTTTTTGTGCTGATTTTCAACATACTGCCTTTGGAGCGCTTTCCGAACTATTCCACGAGGCTTTCCCATCAATTTCGTTTATAGCGCTTTCCAACTGATTCCTGTTGTGAGGCTGTCCAATCGAATCCCTTCTGTAGCGTCCTTCCCCTGAAAAGGAATCCTGTTGTGATGCTTTCCAATGAGATCCCCTTAGGACAATGTCCATCCAACTTCTGCTGTGATGCCTTCCGCTGGGATCCCTTTGGGACGCTCTCTTTTTTGTTGCGTGGTCTGCGGTTCAGTTTTCGTGCGCGTTTGTACGTGCATGCGAGGGAGAGAGAAACAGAAAGAGAGAGAGTGGTAGAGCGAGAGAGAGAATGATAGAGAGAGAGAGAGAGATCCAGACAGACTTCAAACAGGGAACCTTCGAATCCACCAGGACTGCTTTGCACCGCGAACCCTTCTCGCGTTCCTGGACCAGGCGGCGGGATCGCCGTCGCCGAAGCAGACCCGCCGCCACTCGAGGAATTGAACCACGAAGGTTCTGGAAACATCTAGCGTTATATCTCGCTCAATGATAATCAGGCATTCGCGCGCCAACAGTGGGTTCTGCGTGCTCACAGATAGTGTCTGCGCCCATATCGGGTTTGCTTCTTCCAAGACTTGCTTGCGCCCAATGGGTTTTGCGTCGGGCGCAAGCGGCCCACAGGCGACCGAGCGCACTCGGCAGCACCTTGGGAGTCGAAAGTGGGGAAGGGATGCTGGTGCAGTTCTGCTTTGAGAGAACTTGCCGATCGAAGAGTGAATCTGGTCAGGCGTCTGGCGAACCCCGATGATCCTTCCAACCATCAATCAGCCACCCTGGCCTCGGGCCCAACCCTGGTAGTGGCTGGTTTCTTTTACCGCATATACAACCAACGCCTTGTCTCAAGGACGACGTTTTGGCTCCACAAGGGGCTCGAGACTGCGAGCGCCCCCGAGTGATCGCCCCAACTCTGGACGCAGCCGGGGCCGAGCGAGGAGCCCCAGCTGCTTCTCCTGTCGGGCCCCCCGTGGCGAGGCTCCGACCGCAGCAGCTCGCCCAAAGCCCTCGCGCCCTCGCCCGCGCAGCCGCCGCCGCCGCCGCCGTCGTGGCCTTCCGCGTCGGCCTCGTCGCCGTCGCCGCCGCCCGCCTCGTCGTCCGCCTCCGGGGCTGGCCCTCGCCGCCGCCGCCGCACCCGCCGGCGGAGGCCCCGGGCGTCGCCGGCGCGCAGCTCGCCGGTTGGCCGCCGCGCGCGCGCAGAGGCCGCGCGTCCTGTCGTAGAACTTCACGCGGGCGGCCGCCGAGACGCACTGTATCAGCTCCGTGGGCTCCATGGTCCGCACCCTGCGGCCGCCGCCGGCTGGCGGCCCGCTGCTGGAGGCGGGCCAGGGCGGGGCAGGAGGGAGAAGGGGAAGGAGGAGGAGGAGGACGTGGAGGAGGAGGAGGAGGAGGAAGAAGAGGAGGAGGAGGAAGAGGAGGAGGACAGTGTTGACGTCATGCCGCACATTTAGAGGATCTTCGGGGGTCCCTGGCCGCCACGGCTGTGTCCGTCGGGGTGAGTGCCTTCGACGACGATCTGGTCGTCGTTGCCCGCCACAGAATGGGGGATGGGGGCATCGTTCATCCCTGCCCCTCATATTCCTCGAGCTCCTCCGCCTCCTCCTGTTCCCCCCCCTCCTCCTCATCGTCTTCCTCCTCCTCCTCATCCCCTTCTCCTCATTCTCCTCCTCCTCCTCCTCCTCCTCCTCCTCCTTCTCCCTCCCCCCTCATCCTCCTCCATCCCCGAGGACCGAAGGTCAAGGCTTGTCTGGCAGATTCGCAACCATATGAGCTGTGGGTTGCAGGGTGCAGCGCGACCGAGATATTACCGAGCAAGAGCGAAAGCCCCTCCAGAAAAAAGAGGTCGGGGCGAGACCATGGTAAGGCTTAAGCTGGTCAACCCGCCCTTGAAAAAACGAGCGTGTGCGTCTTATGTGTGTTGTACGTGTGGTGTGTGTGAGTTTGTCGTGTATAGAGTGATGTGTATGCTGTGTGTCGCGTGCAGTGTGGTTGATCCCCTGACAACTCCATGGGCCCTGGAGAGTCCCCAGGGACGGTCTTGGGCGCTCTTGGATATCTGCCACCGTGCCCCCTGGCACGTTGAGGCGTGCCAGGATGCCAAGTGCTGTCTGGTAGGGTTTTGGTAATCTTCTGAGGCCCCCCCCCCTCTCTTCCAGCAGCACCTCCCCGCGCGCACTGGCCACACTCCCAGGGGGCTCTCTGGGCGGCCATTGCGCCTCCCTGGGGCTCCATGACGGCCCCGGAGGCCCCCAAGACTGTCCCAGGGGGCCCCGAGTCGCCGATCGATCGCTCGAAGACACCCAAGATGGCCTCAAGATGGCGCAAGAGGCGTCCAAGGCACCCCAAGGGGCCTCCAAGAGGTCTCCCAAGAGGGCCCCCACAAGCGAAAATCATTGATTTCTATTGCGGTTTTCAAAGGTTTTGACGTTCTCGCCTTTCAGGCTTTCCGACGGCCCCAGAGGCCCCAATACCACCCCGAAACGGTCCATGAGGCTTCCAAGAGGGCCCCAAGATGGCCTAAGAGGCGCCAAGACGGCCTAAGAGGCGCTCAAGACGGCCCAAGAGGGCCCCAAGACGGCCCCGAAAGGGGCCCCAGAGAGGGAACACGAATCGAAAATCCAAGCCTTCAGCCCAAGGGGCCCCGAGGAGGCCCCAAGAGGCGCCCAAGAGGCGCCCAAGAGGCGCCCAAGAGGGGCCCAAGAGGCCCCAAAACGGCCCCCAAGAGACCTCGAAACTGCCTTCAAGAGGCCCCTGAGAAGCCTCCCACGAGATCCCCACGAACATCTACTGGGCCTAAAACCCACAACCAAGGCACGGTGACGGGACTTGCTACAAGCAGCTGGATATGTGGCAATGCTGTGGGGTATTTTGGGGTCCTCTTGGGACCTGGGCGACGGAAAACATTGAAACCTTCCTGGACGAGAACGGGAAACGCCGCTGTTGTCCACTGGGCTCGTGAAAACTGTTCTGTCATGAAGGTTTGCCTTGCATGTCTGTCGTGGTGTGCGTGCGCTTGCGCGCTTGTGCCCACAGGTACCTTTTCGCACGCGGAGGAGAGGGGGGGTCGAACAGGCGTCTGGCACGCGTGCATTTGGCAAGTGTTTTCACGTGTGCAGGCGCCAAGGCGCCAAAGGGGGTGTCCAACATGCGGCTGGCGGATTTCTCGCACGAGCAACAAAGAGGAATATCCGTGTGCATTTGGCACGTGTTTTCACGCGGGTGGGCCCCCAGGTGAGATATCCAACATGCGGCCGGCGGATTATCCTTCACATGTCAAAATACTTACTTACGTGGAGGGAGTATCCTACGTGCGTCTGGCACGCGTGCAGTTGGCACGTGATTTCACCTGTGTAGGCCCGCTTCGGGGTATCCAACATGCGGCCCAGCAAAGTCCTCACACGTGAAAAGAACTGCGCGGGGGGTGGAATAAACATGAGTTCGGCACGCGTGCACTTGGCATGTATGTTCACGCGTGCAGGCCGCAGGTGGTGGGGGTCCAACATGCGTCTGGCACGCGTGCATTTGGCACGGTGCTTCACCTTGTGTAGAACCCGTTGGGGGGTATCCAACATGCGCCCGCGGGACTCTTCAATTGCAAAACGTGCGCGGAGGGGGGTTCTTCAAGGTGGATTCGGTACGCGTGCAGTTGGCACGTGTTTTTCCTGTGTAGGGCCCCAAATAGAGGAACAATAACTATGCACATGCACCGATTCTGGCCAGGCCCATCCTGAGCCCAGGATTGGTGCATACGCCCTCCTACCTTGGCCAGGAAGGAATATGCACCGATCCTGGGTCAAGGATGGGCCTGGCCAGGATCGATGCATGTGCATACTCCTCTTCGCCCGACCAAAGGGGTATCCTACATGCGACGGGGGTTCCTCACACATCAAAATACGCTATCATGTGTACGCAGAGGGTGGTACCCATCCTGCGCCTGGCACGTGTCCGCACGTGCGTACGCCTCCAGGGGGGATGCCCAACATGCGACAAGCGGAGCCTTCACACGTGCGGGATTCGGTCTCGGCTGGGGGGGTCGCCACGCGTGTGGCACATGTTTGCACATCGGAGCCCACAACTTGCACGCAAAGAGCTAGTTTGGGAATTGGCCTACCCGACTAACGCATGAAAACGTATAAAGCGAGGCAAGCGGCACGTGCCGTGGCACCGCTTTTGAATGGTATCGCGGGGTTTTGGGGGCATTCGGGGCACATTCTGGTACATGTGGGGGCTCATTTGGAGACCCTTTGAATTCCTTTCGGGACACTGTGGTGCATTCTGGCCCGAGCGGTGCTCCCAAAACCGTTGACGTGGGGGGAATCTGGGCATGATTTCACATGTTCCCCCCGTGTTCTATGGTGAAGCGAACCTTCCTCGCCGTCGCCGTCGGCCTCGTCGCCGTCGCGGCGACGGCGGCGACGGCGGCGCCGACTGCTGCGATGGCAACGGCGACGGCCACGAAGATGGCGAAAGCCGCGGCGACAACGACGGGTCGGTGGCGACGGCCGCGACGACGACTGCGGCGACGGCGGCGACGATGCCGACGGCGACGGCGACGACGACGGAGACGGCGACGACGCAGACCGCCCCCGATCGTGTCTCGAATAGGGGAACGGCGTTCCAACGCTCCACAGAACATAACATTATGATTCGTACGATGCCCTCGGCTCCCCAGCAAAGCGCCCAGAACATCGAAGGCGCGAGCCTTCCCTTGTTTGGTTCAAACAAGGGGAAGTGGTACTTTTGGCTTCTTGTGCGCCCTTTTGCCGAACGTGCACGGCCTGAATTCAAATATGGAGTTCGCGGCTACCCGAGAGGGGGTGTCGAACAGGCGGCGAGCGGACTCTTCCCTTTCCCACTTGCACGTGCGTGCGCGCACGGAGGGAGAGGTCCAACCTGCGTCTGGCACGCGTGAGCTTGGCAGGTGCTTTCACGTGCGTCAGCGCGGTGAGTGGGTCCAACTTCTCCACGTCGCGCCGCGCGAGCAGGGCCGGTGCGCGCGCTCGCTTGGGTTGGTTCTGCGCCGTGCCGCCGCGCGCGCGGCCGCGGCGCCAAAAAATGGGCGCGGTGCGGCAGTCTCTCGGAGCCACGCGCCGCCACCTCAGAACAAGAAGAGGCGTGAGGAGGAACAAGAGGAATTTTGGAATTGCGCTCTGATTCGCCGAGGGGGCGGTCAGCTTGGCGCGGCACTCACTCGCTGCTGGCAGAAACACGCGGTATCTAGCGACAGTGGCGCCAAGGTGTAAGTGCTCCGCCCGTCCTGCCCCAGGGAGGGAGGGAGGGAGTGGCAGGAGAGGTGTAGCATACGGCACGATGGGGAGGAGGGCGGAGGAGGATACGTGCGGGAGGAGCGCATGTGCAAGGAATTTTGACTGAATGCGTACATGGTAGCCTTCAGTGGCGGTGTTGCCTTCAACTGACAAAAAATGCCTTCAGAAACGTGTGCCTTCGAGGGAGCAGCCAGGACGGGGAGTGAGGAGGAGGAGGAGGAGGAGGAGGAGCACGAGGAGGCGGGGGGGGGAGCGTACTCCATAGAAGCATTGAAAACTACACCATGTGACAGCATGTGAAGCCACAGTGTGGCGCACCAGGGGAAGAAGCACACACACAACACGCAAGACAGCGTCACATAGCAGGTGGTGTCAGTTCATGGCGCCGCATGCGTACGTACGCATGCACTCCATGACGAAAGTCGACTTATGTTCCTGGCCAAATTCGCATGTCCCTCAAATTCAATGCTTTCGTTGTCCTTCCTGCTGGCCTCCGAGTGTGGCGCTGGAAGAAGTCGGGAAGACAACTGAGATAACGGACAAGGGGGGGGGGAACTGGAAAACTACGGAAACCAACGAACACATACACAACGCCACCACTTGATTAGCTTCAGGCGATCCCTACCGAAACCTTAGACACTTGTTGTCACTGCTGCATTATGTTATATGGCGTTATGGTCGGTTATGTTCTCTTATATTTTTTATATGGTTTATGATTACGGCCAGCCTTGCGTCGGATCGCATGCTGCGTCTGAAGGGCGCCATTCATCGGTAACTCTTTATTCTACAGTCTTCAACTATGTTCGATGCACTCACGTTCTTTGGTGCTCTAATCTGTTATGTTCTGTTCTCGGCCCTCGGCGGGTCGGCGTTACGTCGTGACGCCTATCACGCCTGATACGTCGTCAGGTCGGTCGTTTCCGCGCCTCTCTGTTCCGGCGCCTCTTATGCGTCTCGGCGAGCACGTCGCGTTTATTAAGATGTCTTTAATCACTGAGACGCCGTTAATACATGGTTGGGTTTCTTCTGGTGTATTCAGCAATGCTCCAGTATGTGAAATTGATAGAGTACATGATAGCACGCTGTGTTATGCGAGGACCTCTTCGATGATGTGAATGTACACTCTGTCCTGATATACTGTGATACGTCCAACTCTGTTCTACCATCTTTTGCTCAGCAATATGGTATGATGCTATGCCACTGTATTTCTCGTTATGATATCATCTGCTTCCTCGTGTTCGGAATCATTTGATCCGAGTCTATTGGACGCGTAATGCCATATGACATTATGATCGTGCAGTCTTTGTTACACTCTTATCGGTTGTGGTTGTTTATGCTGGCACTGCATTGTATGGTGATACGGCGCTGCAAGCATGTTTTGCTCCACACTCTTATTCACGATTCCATGACCTGACAGCGTCGGGCATGTATGCTGTGTTATATGTGAGTTAGCGTGCTGCTAGCATGTGCTATGACATGTTGATGCCACAACAAATAGTTTCCATTCTGCAAGTCGTGACATGTGATGGTGCTGTGTGTTACTCTGGCCTGCTCTGCTGTAGGATCTGCAGTTCTCGTTGGATGTACTGTATTGAGTTGCGCTCTGTAATGCTATGATATTGCTATTCAGTTACGCAGCCGTGTACGAAAAACTGGTCGTTGTCGTAGTGGTAGCTGTGATGTAACACGTATGGTTTGTTATGTTAGGCTATGGTATGCGATCCTGTGTTCAAACCCGCTCGGTCACAGTACGATGCCTTGTACGTTGCACTAAGTGATGCCATGGTGTGATATGACATGGTACCATGCTATACTATGACATGCTATATTATGGCATGAGGCGTTTTGCTAGGTTCTCGTACTTATAGTCTGCTCTGCTCTGTTATACTCGGTCATGCTACGCTCTGTCAGTATAGGTGTGTGGTGATATACGTGTGTGTGTGTGTGTGTGCGTGTCAATTGTTGCTGTGCGCTCTTGATGCCGACTCTTCACGCCGCTTTGCTCATGCGTCGTGGCGCCTGGACGGCGTGACGCCGTGCCGCTCCCTCCCCCGGGGCCTTGGGGCTCTCTGACACGCAGGTTGTGGTCATTCGTCGAGGACGCGGGGCGGGACACTCGGGATCCCGTGAGGCCTGGCGACCGCAGTATGGTGCCTCGATTCGTCGAGGGCGCGAGGCGGGATACTCAGGGAACCTCGGGATCCCGTGAGGCCTGGCGACCGCGGTATGGTGTCGCCACTCGTCGAGGGCGCGAGGCGGGATACTCAGGGAACCTCGGGATCCCGTGGGGTCTTGCGACCGCGGTATGGTGTCGCCACTCGTCGAGGGCGCGAGGCGGGATACTCAGGGACACTCGGGATCCCGTGGGGTCTGGCGACCGCGGTATGGTGTCGCCACTCGTCGAGGGCGCGAGGCGGGATACTCAGGGACAATCGAGAGCCTGTGGGGTCTGGCGACCGCGGTATGCAGGTTGGGCAGGCGGGAGTTCTTCCTGTAAAAGCTAACAGTCCCCTGCTCCTCCTCCTCCTCCTCCTCCTCCTCCTCCTCCTCCTCCTCCTTCTCAAATGTCCCCAATTAGGCTTGCCTAAGGGGTTCTTACTTGGCTAAAGGCTGGTGCCTCGACTTCACAGGTTGCCCGTTGCTCGGAGGCTCCCCGGGCTCCTCGGGCTCTCTGGGTTCCTCGCCCTCGGTGCCTCCGATTTTGACACTGCACGTTGCTCGGAGGTTCTCCAGGGTTCCTCGGGCTCCTCGGGTTTCTGGGTTCCCCGGTTCCCCAGGTTCCTCGGGGTCCCAGGGTTCCCCAGGTTCTGCGAGTTCCCTGAGTTCACCGAGTTCCTTGTTCCCCGGGTTCCCTGGGTTCCCAAGGTTCCTCGGGTTCCCCGGGTTCCCCGGGTTCCCCAGGTTCCTCGGGTTCCCTGGGTTCCCTGGGTTCCCCGCCCCCTGTACCTCGTATTCTTACTGTGCCCGTTCCAAGCAAAGCCAAGCAATGCCATGCAATGCCAAGCAATGCGAAGCAATGCCAGGCAATGCCAAGCAATGGCAAGCAAAGGCAAGCAAAGCAAAGCAATGCCAAGCAATGCGAAGCAATTCGAAGCAATGCCAAGCAATGCCAAGTACTGCGAAGCAATTCGAAGCAATGCGAAGAAAAGGCAAGCAATGCCAAGCAATGCGAAGGAATGCGAAGCAATGTCAAGCAATGCCAAGCAATGCCGCGCAATGCCAAGCAATGCCAAGCAACGCGAAGCAGTGTCAACCACTGCCAAGAAAGTCCAAGCACTGCGCCCATGCAACAGGAAGTTTTTCCCTATTTGGGGTCGCGACAGGCTCATTTTCTGAATGCGTTCGCTATGGTTCCGTTGTGCTTCTTGTGTGCACTTCTTTGCCTGGCGCCCTCCGCTGGTTCCCTCCTCCACCCTCTCCGAACCCCACGATCTACTTGCAAGGCCGGCACATCAGGGGTGCCATTTGCCATCCACACGGAGAAGGAAACGGTGTGTACACCCGCCGAAGAGGGATCAGGAACATGATCGGCAGGAAGGCTGTGGAGAGGCAGCAGCAGGAACGAGGCAGAGGAGGCGAGAGGAAGGCGAGGAACAGAAGGAATAGAACAGGGGAGGCGCGGAGAAAATAGCTGAGAAAGTAAAGGGGGAAGCGCGCACTTGTCCTTCCTGGCCAGTCGATCCAACGCAGCAAGTGCTATACACAGGGTGTTACTGGATATACACACGCGCGCACACACGCAATACGTTGGCAACTTCATCCCCCCCCCGCCGTCGCTTCAGGTCGTCCACCATCCGCACCATCTGCGAGAAGCTGTGGACGTCGGCGACCGAGTCTGGGAGCTGGGGCCTCCCCCCCGCAGCCAGCAGTTCCGCTTCTCCCCCCCCTGGCTACCGAACCCGAACAGCAGCGCTCAGCGGCGGGGGCAGGATAGAGGGAGGGAGTACAAGGGGAAGGGCAAGGCGAGGAGGAGGAGGAGCAGGAAGAGCGCCAGTACCCTCAGAAGGTCTGGTCGACGGCGGGCGGCCGCGCAGCCGCGGGGCGGCGACTCAGCTGTTGTCGTCGAGGCGGTCCAGCGCCGCCTTGTGGCACGCCCTGTGAAGGGCAAATGTGGAATTTGGTGAACTTGTCGACGAAGCCGCAGGCTTGACCTCTAGGTAAAGGTCGAGCAACACGAGCTTGTGCATTGCTGTGAACCTCGAATGCTCGTGCCGCGGATCGTCGTGGTAAACCTCATCTCCGGCAAGCCCGAAACGATGCAGGAAAGCACCGTGAAAAATTTGGCGAGAGCGAGGCAGCCAGTGACGGGCATGGTGGCACTGCAGGTAGTGGCTGACCCCGTCGCGCCCTTCTCCGCATCCAAATACGCAGGCGTGCCGCACAGCAAGAACATGCATGCGGTAGCTGGTGTGCTACCCGCCCGCAAGGGCCCTCAAGACGATCCACCGCCATGCAGGAGGCAATGTAATGAGGAAAACCTTCAACTGGCGCCAACTTTGCCGGAGATCACGTGGGATCCGCTCGGCCTCGATCCAGGTCGCGAGCCTCTTCCTCAGGGTCGTGCCGAAGGTATCGGGGTGGGTCGCAGCCTGCAAGGAATCAACGACAGCCCTCTGTGGGTGAGGGCGCGTGCCGGCTGTCACGGACAACCGAACAGCGCGTTTGGCCACCTACACTGCTTGCCGATACAGCGGGAGCGCACGGGCGGGGGCCTCCATGGGACGGTCCCTGGACGCAGCCGCAAGCCGTTGCACGATGGCGGTGCCCATGCGTCAGAATGGAGGCGACAACTGCCCAGCCGCCAATCGTGGGAGCCCAACACATCGGGACGCCACAGCATCCAGCCGTAGCAAAGTCGCTGGCCAGGTCGTAATCGTGAACTCCGCCGTGCGCCACAACGTCACGACCGCCAGGGCATGCATTGACCTGACCGCCGTAGTCGGGAACCAGGCGTCGAAGGATAGTATGTCGGTCAGGCGGAAGGTCGAAGGCAGGAGCCGCAGCACCTTGTGGAGTGCGTGGAACTCCTTGCGCACGAGGTTGCACGGCAGACCGAGGACGGTGAGACACGACGTACCATAGAGGCGGACGTTAGAGTCGACTGGAGAGCAAGTCTGGCTGGTGAGCACCACTCGTCGCCACCACTTGTCGCCCGCCAGGCCCCACTGGTCGTCGGCTGTTGCTCCGGGGCCCATGATGGTGCCGAGGTGCACGTCGCGCCACTGGGGGACCAGGTATGTCACGATGCGCCTGACACGCTGGACTACGTCCTCGGTCAATGGCGCCCAGAACGGAATCAGGTAGCTCTTCTTGGGCTGGAGGTGCAGATTGCCGAACTCGGCTGCAGAATCGAAGATGCTGGCATTCGCGGGCAACTGGCGCACGATGCGATTGACGGCGCCTGCGTCATCGGTGCACACCGCAGCAAGACCGCCACAATGTAAGTCTAGTCTTGGATGTATGGGTGCTCCGCCTCCGACTGCACTGCGGCGCTCCGACCGTGGTCCGGTTGTGAGGGGCAGGAGGTTTGATGAAGGGCGTTGTATGAGGATTCGGAGGGCTTCGTTCTCCTGGGAGGGATACATCATCGTCTGTGTACGCTGGCTAGTGGGGTTGCGCAGGGCTGCCCATTTTTTCAGGCAGTGTATGGGCTATCGCAATTTACCCGATTCTGCGAGCTCTGGCCCAAGTGCTCCCGGGGTCATCGCCAATCCCAACCCTTCCTCAAACCTCCTGCTCCTCATAAGAGGAGGAGGAGGAGGAGGAGGAGGAGGAGGAGGAGGAGGAGGAGGAGGGCGACGGAAGGAGGAAGACGACGACGAGATGGAGTACGGCGACGACGGGGAGGAAGGGCGACGACGACGAGGGAGGGAGGGAGGAGGGAGGCGACAGCCGGTGTTCGGCAGGGGTTTGGGGCCGGAGGGGGAGCGAGAGAGGGCAGAGGGACGGGTGGTCGGGGCGCTGCCCCCCTTCGGCTGCGGCAGGAGCGGCGCACGCGGGCAGGGGCGTGGCGAGCTCGCGGGCCCTCCCTCGCCCTCGCCCCTGCCGTCGCCCTCCTCCTCGTCCTCGCCCTCGCCCCTGCCCTCGCCCTCGTCGTTGTCGCCTTTGCCTTTCTGCTCGCCGCCTCGCCCGTCTCGTCCTCGCCCTCGCCCTCGCCGCTGTCGTCGTCGCCGCCCTCGCCCGCGCCGTTGCCCTCATCGTCGCCCTTTCCCGTGCCCCTCCCCTCCTCCCCTTGCTCGTTCACCTTTTTCCTCCTTCTCCTCCTCCTCACCCTCCTACTCTCTTTCCTTGCATCCTGCCCGCCGCCAGCATCCTCTCGTCTGATCGACGGCGCCACCAACAATCCCTGTCGCCAGACGCAATCGCCACTCAGATCGTGACGGCGGCCACACCGACCGCAGAGGAAGCACGCGATGCACGCCACTGGCAATTTAATCGAGCCGAACCCATGCCGTGTTCCTCGTACAGCAGGCCTGGTGGCAACTTAAATCACGACTACGAGCACATCCAGGGGGAGGAGAAGGAGGGCACATGTTTCTTTGGTAGGGCCTGGAATGTTATGGCCCCCAACCAGGCAACTTACCTCGCGCGGGGCCGCTGCGCCTTTGCAGGTCTGTACCGCAGCCTCGCGGAGAGGCGAAGGAGGCGACGCTTGCCGAGCACGCCGGGCAGCCAGAAATACTGCCAGGGAAGCGCTCCTGCTCCTACTCGCCCTCCGGCGCCGTCCTCCTCCTCCTTCTCCTCCTTCTCCTCCTCCTCCTCCTGCTCATCATTCTCCCCCTCCTCCTCCTCCTCCTCCTCCTCCTCCTTCTCCTCCTCCTCCTGCTCCACGGGCTGCCTCAATCTGTCTTCTTGAGCACCATCGTCTCCTTCCCGGCCTCGTTCGTGTTGAGGGCAAGCAAGACGGCAATCCTGACGACCCCGGCCGCCATGAGGACAGCCGTGGAGCTCCCGAGCTGCACGTGCACGTCGCCGGAGGCCAGGACCCAGCCGTACACCGAGGAGCCGAGGGTGTTGGCCAGAGTGAACAGCGTCAGAATGTTTGCGATGAAAGACCCGCGCTTCTCGCGGCCCAGCCTCTGCTGCGTGTGAGCATTGAAGTAGATGGTGGTCACATTGTTTGCTGCAGTCATGGCACCCCACACCACGAAGAGAAGGAACACACGCGTGCCAGCGGAGAAGTACTGCAGCATATAGATCACCCCCATGAGGGGCACTAGTGTTACCAGCTGTCCAATAATACCACAGTGTATTCCGATCCAGTTCACGTGCGGCGGCTGTTTGGCAGCCGCTCCCTGGATCAAGTACACCATCGCGTTCGATAAGAAGGGCCCAATGACGCCGCCCAGCGAGACCACGGCTGCGTAGTTCATCCAAGCCTTCTTCTTCTGAATCCCAATGGCCCCTTGTATCCAAAGAATCAATGCGCTTGCCATTGATCCCTCGTTCTCGATGGCACCGTCTGGGATGGCCTTGAAAATGACAGGGAACACTAGGGTGCCTAGGGGGTAGAGGAGCATGTTCGTGCAAATGGTGTTCACTATCATCAGACCGATGGTGCGGTCCTCCTTGAGCGACAAGATGCCGGCCCACACCTGCTTAAACAAGCCCAGCATCTTCTTGACAGCGGAGGTCTCGCTGCTGCTCGAGGCCTTTGCGGGCCTGTCGGCCACCTGGAGGAGCTGCTTCAGCAGCACCAGCGAGAGGACCAGCAGCGTGCTGATCCCGATCGCGGCTTCGAAGCCGAAGATGGAGGAGACCACGGTGAAGGCGAGCGGCGCCAGGTTTCGGCCAATCTTGTCGCCAGTGAGGTCCCAGCTATTCACGATGGCCAGGTCCTCCGCCGCCACCACGGCGGGCGGCATGGACTTGGCGACGGGGGCGGTGAACGCTTGCGTGAGGCCCAGGCCCACGTTCACGGCCATCAGCGCGGACGTCGCGCCGTACAGCGCGGGCACCAGCGCGAGCACCAGCACCAGGTTCAGGGCCTCCCCCAGCACGTACAGCCTCTTGAGCGGGTACCGCGCGGACAGGAGGCCCGCCACCTGCTGCATGAGCACGCGCGCCACCTGGTTGGCGACCTGCGCGGAGGCGAACTTGGCGACGCCGCCCCTCTCCAGCAGCTCGTAGCGCACGAGCGTGGTCAGGAAGGAGTTCACGAAGCGGGAGCCGAACTGGGCAGCGATGGTAGATGAAGAACAACCGGCATGAGCATGAACTTTCGACGGTCCGCGCGGATTTCCTGGATCTGCGCCGCTGAACCACCCTCCATGGGTCCCCCGAGCGCGACGGGGGCCGCGCCGGAGGCGCCGCCAGGGGGCTTCCGCGCGAAGCCAAGAAAGCCGAGCGGAGCTCGGAAAGTTTATGCTCATGCCGTTTCGCTCTTCCTCGAGATGAAGATGACCGCGTTTGAGGTGAGCGCCATCGGGCGGTGCCGCCCCGCCCGGGGCCACCGCGCGTCTCCCTGGGGGGGCGGGCCCGACGAGTGGCGAGGCCTCGCCGCGCCCCGGGCAAAAAAAAACGCGCGGGCGCGGGGGACGGGCTGCGCAGGAAGATGCCGACCGCCTGGGCGTTGCCTGCTGTGCCGGGATAAAACGCCGCCCAGCGCTTGACGGGCTGGCGCAGGGTGGATTAAGTACAGTCGGCCCGTATCGTAAGGATGCGCGATAAGGATGCAAGGGCCTTGGACGCCCATTTCGAAGCTTTTCGAGCGGGGCGCGGAAAACGAAAACGGCGAAGGATGGACCGAGGAGGCAAGGATGCAAGGGTACCCTTGGAAAGGTTGCCCATCCTTGCTACGCGGGTTGACTGTGAGTTATGACAGTATGTTGGTGTGCCTGTTGAAGCCACCACGTGGCGTTCACACGGGGCGGTCTCGACGACCCACTGCATCGTGCCCAAGAGCGCTGCAGTGGAACAAACATCGCGAAACTTGAATCACGCCCATGTATTGGGCGGCGATACGGTGAGGGCATCGGATAGGGAATCCTTGGGTAAGAATCCAAAGTCTGGAAGACGGTGGAATTCCAATCGTGGAGTGGCCATGGATGTCACGGCCGTCCTCATTGGATACAGTCAACCCGTATAACAAGGATACGCGGCAAGGATGCAAGGGCCTTGGAGGGCTATGTCAACGTTGTTCGAACGAGGTTGGCCAGCGAAAGTCGCTAAGGCCGGGCCGACGGGGCAAGGATACAAGGGCAACCTTGGAGAGCAGCTCATCCTCCCTATGCAGGTTTTCTGTGAAGAAGCTCTCCAAGGACTGGAGCCTCCCGTGCACCTCCCTTCACGCACGCCCCCACCGGAAACGGAGGGGCGAAGACAGGTGCACCTTGCATGCCCCTGTTGGGGCCTAGGGAGGCCCCCACCGCTTGGGCCCCTGAGGTGCATCAATGGTGCGCACCTCCCTTCCCGTCCCCCCAATTTTCTCGCCCCCCCTACGATGCGACGCCCGAACTGCTCACGAGTGCCGATGCCCCGGCAGATCCCGCCCATATTCACATACATATACATATGACTATACATTTACATAAACAAATACATAAACATAAACATATCTACACACATATATATATATGTACATATACATGCCCATGTACATACACATCTACATCTTCGTATACATCAACATACGCATCTACATCTACATCTAAACATACATATACACATACATCTACATATGCATATACATATACACATACATACATACATACATACATACATACACATACATACATACATACATACATACATACAAAAACATACATGCATACATACACACATACATACATACATACATACATACATGCATACACACATACATACCAACATACATTCATACATACCGACATACACACATATCGGCATACCGACATACATACATACATGCATGCATGTATACATACATACATACATGCATACATACACGTATACACTATATGTGATGGAACAAACGCATCAAACAACCATATTGCACACGCACCGCACAACCTCTTGTACAACCTGGTACAAACCTCGCACAACCTCCTTGCATAACCATCCACAACCTTGTTATTCCAAGACGTAGCCCATACACACATACACATCTATATGTGTGTATGTATGTATGTATGTACGTATGTATGTATGTCTGTATGTATGTATGTATGTATGTGTGTATGTATGTATGTATCTAAATGTATACATATAGATACATACACATATATATATATATATATGTGTGCACACACGCATTTATAGACAAGCGCGCTCCACGACTCGCAATGCAACTGCTCGCGAATGGCCTGGATCCGCCGAGGGGAGCTTCGATCCGTTACCTCGGAACGCACATGATTTTTTTAAACGGTTGCGAATAAGCACTCTGTGCGTAGTGGCACGCTCTCCGTGCATTTAGCGTTAAGTCGGGCCTGTCCCACTACAGAGGGATTTTCGACGAAAAAATCCAAAATACCCCAAACATACAAAAAAAATCCAAAAATAGTCTGAGGACTACTTTTTGAGCATTTGTTTTGCCATGTTGGGGGCATTGTTTGCGTATTTTTTAATTTTTCGTCGAAAATCCTCCTGTAGGGGGACACGCCCGACTGTGAATTTAGCGAACCAGCTCACGCACACGGCTTCTCCGGCGCCTCCCGTCGCCCGAGACGCCGCTGCATCGAGGCACGTGCCCCGGGGGCGGAGCCGAGACCAAGTGCCCCCTCCCTGCGACCATGCAGGGGCCCAGGGACACACAAATACAGTAAACAAGTGGCACGCGTGCCCTGGCTCTTGCACAAAGGAGCTGCGAAGGACTGGGAAGCCTGGACGGAGGAAGGCTGGACGCAGGAAGGCTCCCAAGGGTGGGTGGCTCAAGGGAGCTGGGGCTCAGGCTCAGCGGGGGGGGCGAGGGGGACGAACCACCACGAGCCACGAACCACGACGAAAGTAAAGGGTTCCGCTAAATACACACAAATCCCAGGATCCCACATGTTTTACTATATTCTAGTGTGTCTGTGTGCTGTTTCCCCTCCCGACACTACCCCTCCTCCCCAGGCCTCTCCCAGGGCGCGTTCTGACTGGAATTCCGAATCGAATCCAGCCGTACGGCCTCCCAGGAGGCCCAAGAGTGGCGAAAACGCGGCCAGGGCAGCGGTATCGGTACCTCCTCTGAGTTGCCTCCCCCCTTGCCCCCCTTGCGCCCGAACCGACTGGCCCGGAGCGCACAGCAGCGCGCCGATGCCCTGGGGATGCCAGGAGATCGGCGCCGGCGTTGGCGGGCGGCGTCCCCCCCTGGAAGAAATCGGGCGGCGCTGGCGCCCGCCGTGGAAAATATCTCGAAGACGGCGGCCCCTGAGCCCAAAACGGCTTCATGCACGGATGGGGCCTGTCCTCGCCTGCCGAGGTCCGGACATCCGGCGTCTCGGAACAGTCGGCTTCAAAGGCTTTTCAGCGTCGGGTCCTCACCGGAGGGCCTCGGGACCCTGAGCGTGCGACTCGGGGTGGGGAAAGCCGGCCCCAGGGAATAGGGCGCAGAGTCGGGGGCCAGTGTCTCGAACAAAAACCGAAACGTTGGAAGTCTCGAATGGAAGTCTCCACGTTGGAAACGTTGGAAGTCTCCAGCTGGATGGGAGTCTCCACGATGGAAACCTTGGAAGTCTCCACGTTGGAAAACAGAAGCCGAACCGAAACGTGTCGGATGGAGGTTCAGGACTGACACGTCCGAGCGATGCCAAGCGAATGTCCAAGGTGCCGCGGCCGATTGCTGGCGTGCCGCTGGGAGTTTGCGGGCCGTTGGCACCGCCCCGACGCAGCTTGCCTGATGAAAGTAGCACGTGCTGGGCAATTCTGTGCGATCGCTCCGCCTCTGCCGTGGATGCGACCTGGGCACAAAGAGGTCCAAGTGGGCCCCCGCCAACGCCCTGATAGTGAATGGCTTTCGACCAAGGCCGCACTCGAAAGCAGATTGGCCCACGAAGCCGGGGCGACAGGATGCTCCCCAGCAAACGGTTTCGTTCCCCAGTAGAGGGGTTTCTTCTTCGACGGAATATGGAAAACTCTGGGGCGTTCCCCGGCAGAGACTTTTTACAGATCGTCTCCATGTTGTTGGAAATTCCCGAAGCTTCCCCGAAGCCTCTGACAAAAGGCGTGGAACGTCATGAACAACCTAAGAGAAGGCCACTTTTACTTCTTCGTCCAAGATAGCTGGCATGCCGCTGGGGAACGAGCCCAGCAAATCTGCGACGCTGATGGTATAGCTGGCTCTCAGGAGTCCTCAAGATTCCTGATGTATGCCAGAGAACCGAATTTACACGGCGACGTACCCAACTCATCGGCACCCAGGATGATATTTGGTTTTCCGACAACAGTGCGACAGCAACGTTACAAGATACGGTGCACGGCGGATTTCCATATCGTAAGAAGTGTGCGCGGCCGACTTGCAGAACAGAGGTACGACAAGGCCAGGAGGCATCGTACTGGGAAGGAGAAACCAAAGGAAGACATCGGATGTAATAAGAATCACCTCGGCAGAAGCAACGAGATGATAGAGCATTGGGAAGATACGGTTTACACAGGCGGATACGCAACCATACAATGAAGTGTCGCGTTGTTCCATGCCGATTTGCTGAACACCTGCTCGTCGTTCTCCTCCTCTCTGTCCTCCTCCTCCTCGTCGTCCTGCTCTTCCACCTCGATCTCCTCCTTCTCCTCCTCCTCCTCCTCCTCCTCCCTCTCCTTTTCCCCCACCCCTCCTCCTCTGGATCCGCGTGGGAACCCATTGGGTTGTTTCGCACTTCGCAGCCCCTCCCAGGGAAGGGATGGCGAGGTCCTCGAGGTCTGCGTGGGACCCCACTGTGCTGGCCCTCTTCAGCAGCCCCCAAAAGTGGCAACAAATTCACACTCCGCAGCCTCCCCCAGGGATGGCGAGGTCCCAGTTGGGTCTGCGTGGGGCCCCACTGTGCTGCCCCCCCAGCAGCCTTCGAAAGAAGCGACAATCTCATACATCGCAGTCCCAGGGATGGCGAGGTCCCAGTTGCGTCTGCGTGAGGCTCCACTGTGCTGCCCCACCAGGCAGCCC